ACCATTTCAAGATACAAATCATCTTAAAATTACATGATCATGAAACAAACAGTTTAACTACACTATACTATTTACAAAATCATGCAGTCAACTTAACAAGACAATTAAGATGACCTACATGAAAACCTAGACAAGGCGTCCACATTTATTCTGGTATTCTAAATTTTCAAAGCTTCAATTTTGATTGTGGGCAAAATAATAGACGTGCCAGTTATCAGTGAGGCGATCGATATTCACTTCCAAATTCCAGTTCAAAACTATGAATCATATAACTAGGTTTCTTCACTAAATACAAAATTTCAGTCCTCAAGAGATCTAAAATGGCCGGTGCGTTCTAGTAAATAGACGATTACAATTAAGTCAAGCCATATTTTCAAAAGAAATCGTATAAAGAGAAACTTAAATAACCATGATTTTGAAATTACTTCTATCATTTATGTTCGTTGGAGCTAACAAAAAGGGAATCAAACCAACCTTATCTAGCAAAAAGATAGGGAAAAGCTGATTATCAGTGAGAAATTGAGAGCAACAATGGCAATCGCTCTTGTTGCGAAGATGAGTAATAATACACATGAAGCAAAAGCTGTGGGCGCAATACGTTAGAAACGCATTCTTAATTATCTGCATACAAATCGGACATAACAAGTCCGTGTCCACCTCCGCAACTTCGGCAACAGCAGCGGCCGCTGTGGCGCTGGCGGTTGCTTCGAGCGGCGGCGGAACTTCGTCGTAGAAAAATGGCTTAGAGCCCGGCTTCACCGCCGGCACTCGAGGCCCGGTGCCAGTTGTGACTTCTTCCATGGTTTTTTAATTACCGTTAAATTGGTATTACATTTTGATTTGATTGTTAGGGTGAAAGAAAAAAAAAAAAAAAGATAGAAAGGGACCCACCATGCGGTTTTGTGAGGGTAAAAACAGACCACGCAATCACCCTGTTTTCTTGGACAGTTTGGTTGTTGTTATTGGCTCCTAGCGGTTTCTTCCGGTTGTTGGCAAGTTTTAAGAAAAAACTTTTAATCAATTTTCCATATTTTTCAAATTTTAAAATTGTTATTATTTAAAATATTTTATATTTTGATTAATTTTTATATCTTTAAATTTTATTAATAAAATAATTATTTTATACTTAAATTTATTTAAATATACTAAAAATTATATTAAAATAATATAAAAAATCAAATTTTAAAAATCATTAAATCAAATAGATTCAAATTAGACGAAATAATATGAAAGTCCGGTTCGAAATTTTGTAATTATCCCAGATAACTTTACCCTTCGTGCTTTCACAATCACCTGCACCGGAGAGCACCCTAAGGTATGGTCTTCCGCTCATCATCTTCTTCATTTCGGTAAAGGTGTGCTGTTCATGTTCTGCCACGTGGTAGATAAACACCCATACCAAGTGCTTTTTGTGGTATTTAAGACAGCTGCAATCACTATGCTTCGTCTTCATTCCCTGTCCGTCACGGTTAAATAAATCTAAGTAAGATATAGCATTGTGATAAAAAAATAATGATTTAAAATTTTAAAAATTTTATAAATAAATTTAATAAAATTAAAAATTTTATATTTATATTTTTATATTATATTAATTATAATATATTATTTTTATATAAAATATAATATAAATAAAATATTTTACATGATATAATAGTATAAATTATCATATCTAGTATTAATCGTTAGAACATATAATTAATTAAATTTATTTTTGTCCTACGAAGCCTAAATTTTCTTGGGGCCAAAATTAACCCTTGTGGACCATAATGCCCCTATCCAATCTCTTTCCTTGCTATCGACGGTGATCGAATCAATTGTTCGAATCAATTGTCCGAATCAATCGTTAATCGTTGTCGATAGTGTTCAATCGTTAATCGTTCTTACTAAAAGTCAGTTGCTGCCAACGTGTCTGAAACAACTACTCGCACTAAAAACGTTAGTTACTGTCGATAATGTTCGAGATAACTCTCTACAAAAGGTCTAATGTTGCGGAAAACCAATACATATCGATAGTGTTCCAAACGATTGCTCGCAACAAAAACCAACTGCTGCGGATAATGTTCGAGACCACTACCCATACCAAAAGTCAATCTGTTCATGACGTGCATATCCTCATAAATTCTAACTAACGCAATAAAAAATATCCAACCTCATCTTATCAAACAAAAAACATAAAGAATTCTTTTATAATTTAAAAAATTATTTGCTATATTAATAGTAAATTTTTTTTTATTTTACAAGTAAAATTAAAATAATAATATATATTTTATTTTTTAAATATATATAAGAGATATGTATTATTATCTTAATTTCACGTACAAAATTAAAAAAATTTAATATATCAAATAATTTTTTTTATAATTATTAAATGTTAAATTTTTAATTACCATATTAAATAAAAAATTTATTAATTTTTCTAATGCCTCATGTGTAAAACGGCATCAACGAATAAATAATAATATTTATATCTATTAACTTTTTCTTTTTAATATTTCAGCAACCTAAGCTCTCCAGTAGCTGGATTTTGTGATCCAAATTAAAATTTCCTCGTTAATATTAGCTTTTACGTCTACCCCCCCTAACTAACATTTGTTGATTATAATTATCCATAATTAACACATGCCAAAGTAACTTTTACCTTTAAAAAAAAAAAAAGCAAGGATCTTAACTAAACAATAATTTGATGAACAATTTTAGATTATGTTCGATATCTTTTTTTATATATTTATTTATTAAATTTCATAAATAATTATAAATAATATTTTAAAATTTGTTAAAAAATAAATAAATCATGAATATAATAAAATTTATTTATATCGTATTTATTAATATTTTGAAATGCAAATAAACAAAATGTTTGATGAATAAATTATAAATAAACCAGTATTTATTTATTAAATTTAATAAATGATCATGAATAATATATTAATTTATTTTATTATAATATTACAATTATTTGATTAAAATAAAAAATTATATAAAAATTTATCATTTAAAAAAATAGATTTTACATAAAAAATATTTAAAAATTTTACATAAATTTAAATTATAATTGTAATATAATGATTATATATGAGATTTGCCTTAGAAAAAGTAACCTGTTTCTGTAATTGCCTTCAGCGCTTTAATTTTTTATATAAAAAAATAAAAATCACCCTTGTGGTCAAAAAGCAATTTAAATAAAATAAAGGCCCTATTGTTGTAACTTAACGTAGCCACGTTGTTTACGAAAAGCACTTCCTCGGCGAGTTAAATCCCGCCAAATCTACTAGCATTCGCTCTCTGTTTCTGGCTTCTTTGTGGGACCCAAGAACCTTAGCATAGCGAATCTAAGCTCTGTTCTTCTACCGGTCTGAGGTGGTCCCACTCCTTCAAAATCCAAATTCAGTGGTCCAGATGGCACCATCGCTCCTCGACTTTTGACGGCAACGATTTGTCGCGTTTTCTTTTTCTCCATAAGCGAGAATAAACTGAAATAAAATAATTAATATAGATAATTTGCGCCTTGTTTTAAGGATGTTTATTCTATTAATTCACCTAATTTCGAATTAAATTATTTTATTTTATTTTTATTTAAATTTAAATCTTAAAAATTGAAAATTAATTTTATCGATTAGATTAATTTTTTATTAATTGAATAATAAAATTTATTAAATTAAAATTAAAATTTTTATATTTAAAATAAATTAAATAAAACCATCTAATAAAAATTTTTAAATATTAAAATAATAAATTAAAAATTTTAATAACTTAAAACAAAATTGACAAATTTATATATTTTATTATAATTTTATTAAAATTTTAATTAATTTAATTTTTGAATCAAATTAATTACAAATCTAAATTTCTTTAAATTAATTCAATGATTAATCTACTAATTAAATTAAATCAATTAATTGTATTAAAATTAAAATTTTAACACTTATGTAATGTATATCAACGATTTCCTTGAACCATTTAAATTATTAAGGGGTAGTTTAGTCATTTTATAGAAACATTCGTAGAAATCTTTAAATTGGGTCCCATCGTAGATTCAAATCCACCGGTCGAGACCTCATCGCTGCCTCCCGAGTTCGCGCGCTCTGACGGTGATGGCGATTTTTTAAATTTTTTAAAAAGAAAATTTAAACAAAAAATTTTTTTGTAAAAAATAAAAATACAATATATATCGTACCTTTCACGCTTATTTCTTTTTCCATTAAAAATAAAAAGACATAAATACCCTCAAACTTTTGCACACGTTTAATGCGATCCTTCAGGTTTAGACATCATGCTTTCTCCCTATTTGATTAATGTAATAATTAATTTTATACCAAGTGAATTGTTTTAAGATAATACATTAGAGGATAAATTTTTAATTCTTAATTAAACTATTAATGTATTAATTAATATAATATATAGACCATTATGTGATATTTTTTAAAAATTAATAATGTTACGAGCAAATATTATATTAATTAATAAATTTATAATTTAAAAAATATTTTATTATAATTTAAAAATATTTTATAATATTAATTTTATTTTTGGAAAGACAATAAATCTTTAGCAGGATGTTGGCTAAAAAAGTTTTTAAAAGAATTGAATTACCAAATATATAATAAGTAATTACATTTTAATATCAAATTATGTTTTACATTGTTCTCTTTATATTTGGTTAAAAAAAATGTCATTTTTCTTTAATGCTATTTAAGTTTTTAATTATTGAATTTGATTTTTTAGGTATGTGGATTTAAAAGAGTTTACGTGTTTAATTTTTTTTTTTGTTAATTAAGATAAAGGGTTTAAAAGTGAATTAAAAATTTTAAAAAATAATTTTTCAAAACAATTTTTTTTCAAATTAAAAAACAAAAGTCTTATAATTTTTAATTTCAACAACTAACCAAACGCTGCGGTTAATAGCTGAAGAGAGTGGTTGCATTTGCGCCTTATGTGGGCAATAATGTCTTTTCAACGTTATTAATCAAAATAAAATTTATTATTGGGGAACGAGGACAGAAAAATTTTACAATTTCTGGTTTTCACATTTTAGAGAAAAAAAATAGAGATCCGAAATTTCACCTTACGTCACTAAAAAGAAAAAAAGAATTTTATTTTTTTCAAATCAAATTGGAATATTTTCTAGGATTTCACTTTTTGATTCTTTATAAACCCTTGATCATCATCATCATCATCATCATCATTTTATTTAAATCAAGCAATTCTTTGAAAATCAGACAAAATTTGTTTTGATTTATGACATTTTTTTTTTATTGTTTGATCAAAAGTTAAGAAACAGTTTTACAAAATTCTGTGCCACCATCACCGATGCCGGAGAATCGGGAAGTTCAGAACAATGCTGTATCGAATCAATCCGCTGATAACAGTGAAGGTAGCACCGATTCTTTGTACACTCTTTGTTTCTTCAAATTATACAAAGATCTGATGCCGCTTTATATTTTCCTCTGTTTGTTATTATTATTTTTTTTATAGAATATGTTCGTTCTGATCATTTTCTATTCTGATCAATGTTTTAAATTCTTGTGAATATGGTAAATTTCTTTTCATTAAATGAAAAAAGCAGTGAATTTTCTATATTTTAAGTTGAAAAGGTTTTTTTTTTTTCTCTTTGTTGTAAATTATTGTAGTAATAGATTTGGTTTTTTTTTTTTTTTTACTTTCAGTTTTTAAATGTGATGGCTTATTTGGTGCAATCAAATTATATGTTATTTTTTTTCCTTTGAGAGATTCTAATTCTGGGTAATTTGGGGATTTTTGCTATGTTTACATAAGCAATTTTGCGGTTGAAAATTAATGATAATAATCAAGAGGTGTGTGTTTCAGAATCAGCCGCATACCCTGATCGTCCTGGTGAACCGGATTGTTCTTATTATTTAAGGACTGGTTTGTGTGGTTATGGAAGTAACTGTCGTTTCAATCATCCAACTTATGCTTCTCAGGTGATCAAGCGTTTGTTTCTGTTTTTGTTTTTTTAAGTGAATGGCAATTAGTGACTGATCATTCAAGATGTAAAATGATTGGATTCAAATTCTTGCCTTTAAGATATATAAAAGTTACTCTGCTGCCGTTGTAGTGGTTGATTATGTTGTTATTTGGTGCAGGGTGGCCAATATAGAGAAGAACTCCCTGAAAGAGTTGGACAGCCAGACTGTGGGGTATAAATACTTTCTTGTTTGAGATTTTTGGATCGCTATAGTTTAAAAAATTGCCTTTTCCAGAGATGCTTGTGTTACCGTTTTCTGCTGAGCATGGTTATTTGACTCTTTCTGACAAAAGGAAAGGCAACTAATGGGGCTTGGTTTATTTAATTGAAAACAAGTTTTTGGGGAAATGAATATATAGTAGACATGAGTCATGACTACATGTGCAAGAATGTTAACATGATACATAGCAAAATGATAGTTTTCTGATTATGCTAGTCATCATTTAGCTTTTGGTTTTATTATTGATTATGTAATATAATGTTGATACTGTTTCACCAGTGGGCAGTGGGACTATGCTATTAATCTCAGCCCAAAGTTCTTCATAGAAAGTTCTATCACATATTTAAAAATCTGCAGAAAGTGTATGTTTTCTTAATTTGTTGAGGTACATGTTATGGAACTTTTATGAAAGATATTTGCTTGGACAAGTCTTACTTGTTTGCATATATAGGCATGTGCCTTTAACTGATGAAATGACATTGACTATGTGTTCCGTCTTTGAGGCTTTTTTTTTTTCCAATTAATTATTTACTTAGATCAAGTCCTGCTCCTTATATAACATCTCTGGTTTCCGATAAGCCACATGCAGGCAGGTGACTTACAAGTCTTTTTTTTGGGCCTTAGTTGACTGGCAAGTTTATGATTTTTTTGTTTGTTTTGGAAGAAAAAGTATATAGTGGGTTACATTTATTTCTGTATAGTGTGCTAACATTTCTTTTTAACATAGTGGTGTGATGCAGAATTCTTTCTCTAAAAACCGATGTTGATGTGCTAAGAATCATGGTTGATTTGGTTGATCTAGTGCTTAACTGTTTGACATCATGTTGATGCTCTCTCTCTCTTTTGATCAGAAAGTATTTCTTGTGGAAAGCTTTTTAATTTAGAAAGTTTCTTTGAACCTGCTTTGCAGTATTTTTTAAAGACAGGAACTTGCAAATATGGATCAACATGTAAATATCATCATCCAAAGGACAGGAATGGGGCTGGACCTGTTACATTGAATGTTCTTGGTCTTCCTATGCGTCAGGTGCTTTTTTTTTCTCTTCTTTGATGTGCTTAGTTGACCATGTGTTGTCTGATGCTGGGTCTGTATTTATCAGGATGAAAAATCATGTCCTTATTACATGCGGACTGGAGCGTGCAAGTTTGGAGTTGCCTGCAAGTTCCATCATCCCCAGCCTGCATCACCTGCAGCTGGCTTACCTGTAAATGGATCTGTGGGATCATCAATTTTGCCACAATCAGGATTGCCATATGCTGGTGGATTACCCACATGGCCATTATCTAGGGCACCATACGGCCGTGGGAACCCACATTTACCGGGTTCTCAGAGCTACATGCCTGTTGTTGTTTCTCCTTCACAAAGCATAATACCTGCTCATGGCTGGAGCACCTACATGGTAAGTGAATACTTCTTATGTTGGGTAAATATCTACTGAGTTTCTGGCTCCAATATAACATGGTCGTTAAGATGTAATCTCTGAAAGGTGTAGTCCTTCCGGGGTGTTTTTATCAGTTGCCTGTTTTTAAAGTTGTACTTGGCTAATAATTGAAATTTATATTTTCATGGCTAGCAACTTCCTTAATATTGTCTATAACATTTGACAATGTCATTTTCAAACAGTTATGAATGGTTAGTTCACTGACTAGATCTCATGGGAATTGACTGTCATTGGAGATGCTATGATGAAATTTCCTGGTCTTGACTCCATTCTTTATAGAGAATTCACTTACCATTCGACACATTATTTTCTTTTGCATAAGTATGAATTTAAGACACCTTAGATGTCTTCATTTGTTCAATTGTTGTCTGAGCTGCCCTCTGAGCAAGTCTTGGAAATGCATGCTTTCATGATGCTCACCATTATTAGGAAATAACATGTTTTATTTTCTCTTCCCTTTTGTTCTTGTGGTAAACTAGAAATGATTAACTGTGTTGCTCAGACAAGTGACTGCTGTTGAAAACATACTTAGTTGTGTGTTTTATGTGTTATTACTATTATTTATTTTACAACTTTGTTGTCTATATCCATATTTTATATGTGCATGTCATGGTAGCTTTTGTGTACTTGCAGCAATTGTATTGTGTAATTGCCTTTTCAATATGGCTTGTATTATTATAGTGTTTAAAAGGATGAATATAATAGAGTCGGTCAAATGTTTGTCATGGCTTTGAGTTTTTAAGTGGTATGTAATTGATTGCAACATTCTGATATCCTAAATGGAGTAGCTTATGTTTTTTATTACCTCGACATATGTATTCGAAAGCATCCAGCAACTATAATGCCTTATACTACAAGTTTTTGCTTTTCTAATTTTGATAAAAAAAATTGTTTATAGGTAGCTTTTGTCGATTGGACTTCTTTTTCTTATTCTATCTCTCTTTTTTTTTCTTCTTTTCTAATTTAATTCTGATCAGGGAAATATGAGCCCCATATCTCCTACTGGTATTCTTGGATCCAATTTCGTCTCCTACTCAATGAATCCTGCTGAGTCAGGTTCCAGTGGACGGTTGCTCTTGTCATCAACATTTGGTTCAAATTTTCCTGAAAGACCTGATCAACCAGAATGTCGGTACTACATGAACACTGGCACTTGCAAATATGGATCTGATTGCAAGTACCATCATCCAAAGGAAAGGATTGCAAATTCAGCTGTAAATGGTATTAGTCCACTTGGGCTACCTTCTAGACCTGTAAGTTTCCTCTCTGTTTTTCACATGGTCAGGTATTTAACTAAATATTCATTTGAGTGAATTCGGATGACCATTTCTTCACTCAAATTAGTTTGCTTGTGATTTTTTCTTCTTCTTTCAGCAAACAAATTACATTAATTATTTCCTGCTCTTCTATACGTAGGGGCAAGCTGTATGTTCTAGCTACAATATGAATGGTCTCTGCAAATATGGGCCAACTTGCAGATTTGATCACCCTTATGTGGGATATCCTTATAATTATGGTCTAAGCCTGCCTTTATATGTGTTTGATGCATCTCTCCTAACATATCAAAGAATGCCACCAGCCGCCCATTTGTCCGAAGCTCCTCTGCCATCAAAGCTTCCTGATTGGGCACGGAACACCAACTCCGTGAGCAAGAAACATCACAACTTGGAGACCAAGAATTCTGATGATCCACCCGAACAGGCGGCTTCAAAAACCTCGAATGATTAAACCGATTTAATCAGTCATTTTGTTACCTGTTGTCCCTTTTGTTAATTCGTACACTTCAAAGAGACTTTCATGATATATACTTCCTGCACCCCTTTCACCTGTGGTTCAGCAGTTTTATAGGCCGTTTGGAGTTTTGCAATACTGGGGGGGCAGAAGGCTTTTTTTTTTTTGGGTGGTGAATAATGCAGGTGAAAAAGTTGTAAGATCCTTTTATTTCTTGGAGCTGATCTTGTATTCAGGATTAATGCTTCTATGTCAATAGGATGTTTTAGTTTGGCGGAGATGGTTGAGTCTTACATGGTTAGCAGTTGGTAGCTCAGGTCCCATAGAGTCAAGAACTAGGTGTAATGAGTTGAGACTTGAGAGTTATGGTTTATTTTAATTTTTATTAAAGATCTAATGGCTAGATATTTTATGTTGCGTAAAATATTAATAATTAATGTTTTATATAAAAATTATATTTTATAATTCATAAAAAATATATTTGTATTATTTTTAAATTTATATATAATTTTTGTTAAAATTTTAACTTTAATATATATATTTTTTTGGTTTTGTGTTGTGCACTTGCCTTATCGGAACTAGTAGGAGGCAAGCGTACACGTGTCGTTAATAGACGTTAAAAGCACGGTAATTCTATTTTCCACATCTCCTTCCAGCAAACAACGATTTCCCCATAAACGACAGACCAGGGAGCTGACGTGGAGGAATCTCATTGGCGGACACACGTAATTCTTCCTCGAGACGAAGTGCTTTTCTAGTCTTCATTCTTTTACTGTCTTGAGAGGGTTTCTGCTCCATTCTGTGCGAGAGAGAAAATCCACAAATGCCTGAGAAAGTGACGTAAAATTAAAAACAAAATGCGTAGATCCCGATCACCGTTGTTAATAGCTTTGTCATTTATCTTCACATTCTTCAGCACATCGTACGCTTTTTACGGATCGTCGTCGCCAGTGGTTCAGCTCACTCCTTCTAATTTCAAGTCCAAGGTAAACCCTTCATCCTTCGCCATTCGTTAGAGAACTCGAAGAAAAGAAAAGAATCGAAAAGCGAAAGGAAGGGTCTAAATTTCTGTTCAGTTAAATGAAATGCATCGTTTTGTTGAATCACAAGACTGAAGATTCCATTTGATATTGAGGTTTTCTACTTTTTACCTCTTTGTTTATATTTGAGCAATGATTTGTATTTAGGGTATTTGATAGTGTAATAAGCTCATATTGGGAAAACAAATGAAGCATAGAATTTTCATTGGCTGAAACTAAAGGTGTTTATAGGCCTGGCTGAGTTTGGGTTAGGTTCATTAATAGTTTATATGCTTATTCAGTCCAACCTAACTCGATATTTATGGCCTCAAAATTTTTTCACGCCCAATTTAAATTGAAAAAATAAATCTTAAATTTATCTATTAAACTTAATTCATATAATAAAAAATTTAAAAAATCCTTTTAAAAAAAATTAACATATATATTTATATAATTATAAAATTTTAATTATATATAATTTATTCAAGCCGGACCAGGCTTGGGTTTTAATTCGTCCAAGATCCTGCTTAAAATTTAAACGAGCCTAAAAGTTACGTCACAATCCATTTAATAAGTTTTAATTTCTTGTCCAAACTTTTTTAAAACTCAAACAGGCCTTCGGGTTTAGACGGGTAGGGACCGGTAGCTTAACTCTTGAATAGGTCTACTTGAAACATGTCTTCCTTGGATTTTACTTTTACTTACTTTTTCAGTAGTTCAAGAAGGGAAAGAGTCAAGTTAAGCTTTATGAGGAGATTAAGTTGTTGATTGAGATTTTTTAGTTGTGATAGGTTTTAAATTCGGATGGAGTCGTTTTGTTTGAGTTCTTTGCGCCTTGGTGTGGTCATTGTCAAGCTCTAACACCTACATGGGAGAAGGCAGCCAATGTCTTGAAAGGAGTTGCTACTGTGGCAGCCCTTGATGCTGATGCTCACAAGTCCCTTGCTCAGGTTTGGGGTGTTCAAAATCTATCAACTACACTTTTCCCTTAAGTCTGAGATGTAATTTAGGTTCTACTTTGTTGGTGTGCTGTTTGTTGTTCAACAAGCAGTAATAGTTTGCGTAATTAAGGTTTTCTTTATCTGCTGAAAAATTTAAATATATAAATTATATAAAATCCTAAGCTTTATTGCAATTTTGATGGGATTGTCATTTTCGCATAAGTATCTGGTATCTGATTGTAAATTCTTTTCACTACTAATTTTATGTGCTTATAGAGACTTGCTTCTGATTGCTACCCAGGATTATGGAATTAAAGGATTTCCTACAATAAAGGTGTTTGCCCCAGGAAAGCCTCCCATAGATTATCAGGGAGCAAGGGATGTCAAACCTATTGCAGAAAGCCCCTCCAGCAGGTTTGTTACTGTACGTTGATTGATTGTAGAATCATGATTTCTCATTGATATTAATTTCATGAGACTATGCTCCATTGGGAAAGTTTTGTTTATATATCTAATGTTACGTGGACCAGGAGATGATATCTGTCCATAAATGTCTTTCATGGCCCCAGTTTCTCTATCATTTAATCTAATCTCTTCGTCTCTGATGGATTAAGCATTTGATACCCATGTTTAAAAAGTTAAAAGTGAAGTTTATGTGTATCACTTTTATGCTACTATTAAACATTCTTTCTTAGACTTGAGTTGTATTATTATGGACTATTATGAATTTTATAGGTAAAGGCACTTTTGAAAGACCGTTTGGCTGGGAAAGCATCTGGAGGATCAAGTGAGAAATCTGAACCTAGTGCATCAGTAGAATTGAATTCCCTTCACTTTGATGAATTGGTGCTCAAAAGTAAAGAACTTTGGATTGTGGAGTTTTTGCACCTTGGTAAGCATGCTTAACTTAATCTAACACTCATCAGGAAATTGTGTTCACTAGTATCACCATAGATGTACATCCATGCAAGTATGAATTGTTGTTTATGTTTCTTGTGATGTAACACAAGTTTTAATTCTGCCTTTTTTGTTAAGGCATTATATGTTTGCCTTCCTTATAAAAAATCATGAAGAAAAGAAAAGACTTGCATGGAATTAGCATGTTCTGTGGTCAGCTCTATCTATGCATATTTCAGCATAAGCTGGTAAATTTGCCTAATGGTTAGAACAATGAACTCCTTTAACAGAACCAAGGTTTTCTCAGGAATCTGAGCAGGCTAAAAGTCAAGCTGATATTGGATGATTTTTAGGCATACAGATGTTGAGGAACTTTTTATGAATAGAAATAAATTTAATCTTCAATTTCATGATATTGTTGGTGCAACTGTTTTGTTATTTAAAACTCTAAAAAAGAGGAGGAGAGGGGTTTGGCAACAGCAAAATAAGTAGTGAAAGAATAAGTGGTCAAAATTAATATGCTTCTGTACTATATGAACTCTGTATGTATCTCTAAACTTGTAAATTTTGATATAGAAAATCTATATACATTATGCGAAGGATATCATAAAAAATTGATATGGTTAAACCAATCACAATGCCATAGTCTACGTAATTGGTTATGATATTTTTTACATAAAACTATGCACATAACCTATTCTGCGCTTGCCAATGCAGTTCTTTAAGTTTCTAGTTTTTATCTTCTGATTGTGGAGATAGGTGTGGACACTGTAAAAAACTTGCACCTGAGTGGAAGAAGGCTGCTAATAACTTGAAGGGGAAGGTGAAGCTTGGGCATGTTGATTGCGACTCTGAGAAGGTACTGTTTAAATATATTTTTATTTGGAAGTGCTGCCATTCTGGTTGACTCATTCACAACTTTGGAATCGGAACTTTGTAGTTTTTTCCTTAATTTGTTTGTATGGTTTAAACTTGATATTGCAAGTTTATGAACATTTACCTTATAAGAATGTTGTCATACCCAGAAATCATGAAAGATTATCAGAACTAAATAAGATGCATCTCTATTTTGGATATCACTTTTCCACTCTTCATAAAACAATTTCAGAGTAGAAGAACGAAGATTTCTTCTTTTCCCTTTGTTGGAACTTTTGGATCTATTTGTTTTGATATTGTCATTTTAATAGGGTGTGGTTTGCAGTCTCTCATGAGCAGGTTCAATGTGCAAGGATTCCCCACCATCTTGGTATTTGGTGCTGACAAAGACAGCCCAATTCCCTATGAGGGTGCTAGAACTGCCCCTGCAATTGAATCATTTGCTCTAGAGCAGCTTGAAGCAAACATTGGACCTCCTGAAGTGACAGAGCTGACTGGCCCAGTAAGTCTCACACTCTCGCATCAAGAAGAGTTCATTCTTTTTCAAACTATTGAGTTGTTTACTGAAAAGTACAATCTATTCAAATAGGATGTAATGGAGGTGCAATGTGGTTCGGCAGCCATATGCTTTGTTGCTTTCTTACCTGACATTTTAGACTCCAAGGCAGAAGGAAGGAACAAGTACCTGGAGATGCTATTGTCAGTTGTAGAGAAATTTAAAAGGAGTCCTTACAGGCAAGTACATGGTAGTTAACATCAATGCAGTTCTCATGTTATTTTCCTTTATATATATATATATATATATATTTTTTTAAGTCAATTCTTTCTCTATCTGTTTAGGAAAGATATGTTTTTTCTTTTTTCTAATGTCAAGTTCATCCCCTGCAGCTATGTTTGGGCTGCTGCTGGTAAGCAGCCAGATCTCGAGAAGCGAGTGGGTGTTGTTGGGTATGGTTATCCAGCTCTTGTAGCCTTGAACGTGAAGAAAGGAGCATATGCTCCACTCAAAAGTGCATTTGAGCTTAAGCATATCATGTAAGTGTTTCTTTTCATGCTTTGTCCTGAATACCACCTTTGTGAATGAACAAAAAACCTTGAATAGGTAGAATTTGTCTTGTCAGTGAGTTTGTCAAGGAAGCAGGGCGTGGAGGGAAGGGAAATTTGCCTTTGGAGGGCACTCCTGAGATTGCAAAGACGGAACCATGAGATGGTAAAGATGGAGAAATCATCGAAGAAGATGAGTTCTCCCTTGAAGAACTCATGGGAGAATCTACAGCAAGCAAAGTTGAGTTGTGACAAATTGGAAATAAGAACGTTGAGGAAGAGAATTCGGGCAAAGAAGATTTTGATGTCACTGAGTAATGTGGTTGGTGTCATGATTTGGTTTCCCATGGTGAAATGGAATTCTTGCCATGAACGTTCTCAAGTTCCATCATCATTATCTGATGTAAAAACCCTTCCAATATTAATGTGAAAATAAAGGTATTTCCAAAGGTTGAATGATGAAATCAGTTTGATAATTTATTCCAAAAGCTCCTTCCCGAACTCTCAGATTAAGCTAACCCTTTAGCATAGAAAAAGATGAAACAAAACTTAAAATTAATTGGTGAACAAACTATGTCTTCACCCAAAACACCAAGATTACCCAGTTGGGAAAATCGGGTAAAATTGAAGAAGCCATCAAGCTCTTCTCCGGAATGACCCATAAAAACACCGTAACACAACTGGGTTTCGGCGTTTAGTGAAAACGGCAAAATCGAAGATGCACGTCAACTGTTAGAGAAAATGCCTCATGGAAACCTTGTTTCCTGGAACACAATGATTGCTTGGTACGTAAACCATGACAGAGTTGATGAAGCTTATCGACTGTTCGTTCAAATGCCTAAAAGGGATAGATTTTCTTGGACTCTGATGATAACTTGTTTTACACGTAAGAGGGAGCTTGAAAAGGCTAGAGAATTGTTTCATTTATTTCCTCATGAGCGTGATGCGGCTTGTTGGAACGTTATGATTGGAGGGTATGGTAAGAAAGAAAGGGTTGTTGAAGCTAAGACATTGTTTGACGAAATGCCAGTTAGGAATGTTGTTTCGTGGAATTTGATGTTATCATGTTACACTTGGAATGGGAAAATGCGTTTGGGGAGGAATTTTTTGATAGAATGGCGATAAGGGATGTTGTTTCATGGAATTTGATGGTCGATGGGTTGGTTATTTGGATTCTGCTAGGGAATTTTTCGAGAAAATTCCATGTCCGAATGTTGTGTCTTGGGTTATGATGTTATGTGGGCTTGCAAAAAGGGGTAAGATATTGGAGGCAGGGAGATTGTTTGATCAGATGCTGTGTGAGAATGTTGTTTCTTGCAATGCTATGATTGGTGCTAATGTCAAGGATTTCCAAATTGAGGAGGCTGATAAGTTGTTGAGGGAGATCCGGTACAGGATTTTAGTTTCATGGACTACAATGATTGATGGTTATGTTCATGTTGGCCAGCTTGATAAGGCAAAGGAATTGCTCAATCAAATGCCTTACAAGAATATTGCAGCACAAACTGCAATGCTTTCTGGATACATTAAGAATAAAAGAACGGATGATGCTTGTCACGTTTTTAAAGAGATTGCTGCCAGAGATATTGTTTGTTGGAACACCATGATTGCAGGGTATGCATAGATGGGAAGAATGGATAAGGCTCTCGATCTATTCAAGGAAACGGAAAATAAGGACTTGGTAACATGGAACACCGCGATTGGTTATGCTCAAACTGGAGAAATGGACAAAGCAGTTAAGATAATTGAGGAGATGAAGATAAGGAATGTAGATGACAGGTTTCTTGCAAAATGGCTTATCATTGGATGCATTGAACAGTTTCAAACTGGTGGCACATGAAGGAACAATACCTGATCATTCAACTTTTGCAGGTGGAATCTTGCGGCTTTGCAAGTTGGAAAGCAGACGCACAATATGGTTTTGAAGAGTGGTTGTGTAAATGACTTGTTTGCAGGGAATGCCTTGATCACCATGTATGCTAAATGTGGAAGGACCTTGTATGCTCAGCTCATATTCAAGGATCTTGATGATGTCGATGTTATTTCTTGGAATTCTCTGATCACTGGTTATGCCTTAAATGGTTATGGAAAAGAGGTTGTTCAACTCTTTGAATAAATGGTGTTAAAAGGGGTGCTTCCTGATCATGTCACCTTCATTGGGGTTTGCCAGGATGTAGTCACATTGCCTTTGTTGATCAGTGTTTAAAATTGTTCAAACTCATGGCTGAAATTTACTCTATAGAACCTTTGGTTACTATGCTTGCATTGTTCACATGTTAGGCCACGCCCGGATGTTATACGAAGCCTTTGAACTGGTGGCAAATGCGGGAAAATGGGGTGCATTGCTGGCGGCTAGCAAGACTCGTGGGAATTTGAAGCTTGGTAAGATTGCATAATGCTTTTGGAACTTGAACCTCATAAAACCTTAAACATTTGATGTTGTCAAATATGCAAGCTGAGGCTGGTAGTTGAGAAGAGGTCGAGAACATGTGGCCTTTGATGAAAGAGACTGAAGCAGAGAAGCAACCAGGCAGGAGCTGGATTTAAGGTAGAAATCAGTTACATTGTTTTCTGTCCATTACGCCAATGTAACCCGAGACATCTGAGATTTACTGCAAATTGAAAGCCTTAGATTGCATATCTGACTTAGCATCTCTCATAGATAATTTATGACGGGCAGTTACTCTATTTATAAAGGTGAATCCTGCCACCCCCCCCCCCCCCCCCCCTCTTACTAGCATTTTATACAAGGACATGCAATGATCTTTGTATTCTTCAATCTCTTTGATTCTCTGTGCAGACTGTCATCACCAGTGGTCCAATTCATTCCAACTTTAAGTCCAAGGTAATCGCTCATCCTTGTCATTGATTGTTCTTCTTTGGTTGCTGGGAAAGTCAATGAAAGAAAAAAAAAAAAATAGAAACGCTAAATTTAGTTCCATATCGTTTTTGGTAACCAAATAAATAACAGTCGTTGTGCAACCAAAAAGCAGAACCATGTAAGCTTCAGTTGAATGAGATGCATCATTTTGTTGGATCAAGAGTGATAACTCTAGTTATTCATCTTTCTTTTCTATATATATTTTATTGTAATTTAAAGGTAGTGAGTTAATGATTCAAATTTTGTTGCTTGATTTGGATTCTGAAGATCCTTTCTGTATGTTGTAGTTTGTTTTGCTTGTAAATTATTGCTTTTGTTGTAATTCAAAGAAAATAAGAACTTAAAAAGGGGAAGATGAAATTGGCTGCGTTTGACCATGGTTTCATTTGGCTAGGCGACAAAATGCAGCGGGAGAGTCTCCTACGGCACCGAACCTCGGTTTCCGAACAGACGCCTAAGTGTCCAAAGGGAAACCGGAGGGTTGGTGCGGTGGAAGGTCCAACGAGGAGGAAAGTAATAACAAACTTACTTGACCAAAACAATATCTGTTTCTTCTGCCTTATAATTGACTTATTTACAACTTCCACTCATAAGTTTTTGTGGTTGATGTTTTCTAATTTGTTTGTGTGGTATAAATTTTTTGTTGTCATCTCTCTTCGTGAATGTTAAAAAGGGCAGAGAACAGCATTACATCCCATGTGCAAAGATAGCCGAATTCCTGAGGAGGGTGCCTACAGCTGCATGAAATTACAAAGATTAGATAGAGCTGACGGGCCCCGGAAGAACCACACTAGTTTTAACCAAAACTTGAAAATTCAGGCAACAGAAGTTTTTTAATGTTAGAAGCAATTTGTTAGTATCAGGAAATCGCTTCGTTTTCTCGTAGTGAAATGGAATTCAGTATGAAGAATGTGGTAAAGCTCATTATTAGCTAAATGTTAACCCTTACTTGTGCTTGCTGAGGCGACTTCTACAAACTGGCGTTTTCTATCCTCCATAAGCATTCTTTTCTCAATGGCGAGTCGGCGAAAATTGCTCTGATGAAATCTTTCAACTGCAAAAGTTAAAAGAGGTTATGAACACACTGTAACTACAAATCTAAACTAACAAGGGTTATCATATGAGAGTATCAGACAATTTTCATTGTTGCTCAATATCGCACCATTCCTCGTTCCTTGTGCAGTGTGCATGGTCTGATGATAAGTCTCATGATTTTGTATCACAAAATGAAGAAAATAGAAGAATAAACAAATCTTTAAAAAAATTTGCCATAATTATTTTACAGAGCAAGTGATAAATTTTAGTTAAATCATACCTCTACTATTGTAAAACCACAGCTGAGAAGTTCACCACTTTCCCACGAAATCGTGATGGACTTTAAAGGCATATCTAACAATTCTGGAATATACAACAATGAAATACATTTAGGAGAAGTCACATTTAAGTAGATAATTTTCCTAAGTTGGGAACATAAGATCCAACTCTTACCCCTGAGATAGCACCAAAGGCCATCCATTATGTGGCAAGAAATCAAATATCCACAAGTATATACAAGTGTTGAGTTGAGATTATGGGAAAAACATGCCTGCTAGTTTGTGAATTTTACGTAAGGATGGTATAATATCATCATCTATAGGACGTCCCGAGTCTTCTTCTGACTTCCCTTTTGAATCGATAGCAATCAGAGACTTCAATAAAGAAGATAGGTTTTCCAGCATCAAATGGATTAGTCTTTGGAGCTGTTCAACAAATCGATGGATAAGATATCTGACTTAAATATGTAAATGCTATGAAGACTACAATAAAGAGCGACGATCAGACCTGTAATGTTTCTTCCGCTGCCAGATCATCAAGCAAAAGTATGTCTTTTGTGATTCTAGAGAAGACTGACTCTAGAACCATGCACATACTTCTCCTATAAGTTGAAGGCTGTAAGAGTGGCTCCCATATAATATGTACTTTCTCGAGAACAAAGACAACCTGATCATCAACCGTTCAGCTTCACTGTCTATGATGCAAGAGAAAGGCAGAGAAAAATGACGACAAGGAGTACAAGAATAAAATAAATCAACACTACCTGATCTATGCTGAATTTTGCAGATTCAAATTGTTGCATTTGATGGGTATTTTGAAATCCATCAGCACCATCTATAGCCTAACAAATAGAAATACTAGTAAAGTTATTCATGAAGGCAAATGATACTGAAAATTCAAATAATCACATGAAAACCACCACAGATTTATCTGAGTTATAATTCAATCATTATTCTTCTTTTAGGTCAATTATAATGTTTCACCACTATCAATTTTTATCAGATGTAGCAATAAATTTAAAATGTGTATGGCTCATGCATACTCTACTTATAGTTTTAAACTATGTTTAAAAATATAAAGATACTAATATAAAAATATTTTTAATATTTTAATAATAAACATAAAATAAATGGGGGGCTGAGCGCCGGCTTAGGTTTTTGAAGAGTTAACTGGGCTTGGCCTATGGATAACTCTATTTGAAATCTTAGCAAGACTAAACTACAATAGGTTTTATGTAATTGTCCTTCAAAAAAATTTCAGGCAAATATCAAATCCATATTGACATATTTAGGCAACCCACCTCTCTCAAATTAAAAATAACAATCTGAATTTGCCTCTGCAGTATTTCTTCTGCTATGAGATGAAATCTTGGAGCCATATCAGCAAATACAGCATGTTCCTTGATGGAATTTGGAAAGTCTGTGCGGTACTGAAATGTAGGTTTCAAATACATTAGCTAACATAAATTAAATGGAAAAATAAATTAATCGAAGGGCCAAGTCACTTTAGATTAAACAAATACAATCACGGAAACAATAGCAAATCAGCATCTATTTCACCATTAGGAGCAAAGTAGTAAAAGGGCTAAAATATAAAAAATAAGCCCTCATACTTAATTAAATTTATCATATGAGTCCTTATCCTTTTATTGCAATCAATTGAACCCCTTATCATTCATTTACAATAAATTGAGCTGTTATTTGGATGGGAACTTTAACATCGTTAAGTCTTTCAGCCAACTGGGATAGAATTGCCACATGGAAAAAATGATGTGAAATCAATAGACACATGGCATCTTTTAGGCATGTGTTAAGATTAAAAAGATTCATCTTTTTCTATTTTTTTATTTTGACACATGCCTTGAAAATGACACTTTTTTTTGTTTTAACACATGCCAAGAAAATGCCACAAGGCATTATTTATTCCGAATCATTGATGCCGCATGGCAATTGTACCCCATCTAAAAAGGAATTAACGGTGTTAAATTTTCCATCCAAATAAGAGCTCAATTGATTGAAAATAATTGATTAAAGGCTCAATTGATTGCAATAAAAGAATAGGGGCTGATAAAATATTTGAATTAAGTACAGGGACTTATTTTTGTGTTTTAGCCTAGTTCTAGGTGCAGATTTCCAAATATGCATAGATATATTGAAATAGTATAAAAATGCATCCCATTTTGTTTCTTTCTTTTTATCAAGCAGGTTATAATTATTTTTACACTCTACATACCTCAAAAGCAAGCCCAAGTATCTCCTGAGATAAATAAAGACAATCATTGTGCATGAGAATAGCGACCTGGTTGATACCATCAAGCTGCCATTCTAGCTTCACAAGCCAAAAGTAAAGGTTAACAACATAGTCGTAATGCATAAAAACCAGCAACGCAACATCTATATGCAATATACCTGGTTTATACAGCTTTCAAAGCAAAGACCGATGATGGAAAGTGAGTGATCAAATATGCTACAAGAACCTTAATGATATTTGTTTGAGAGCCAAACAAGATTGTGAAATCAAGGTCAAATTTACATGACATGCGTGATTAACAAAAGCACAACCTACTCATTGGACGCCAAAGGGAAGACCAGGTATATGATAAACAAATAGATTCTTTGCTTCAAGATTGAGAATATTATTATTTGTCTAGAAGTACAAACCTTGTCCACTATAAAAAGAAACAAAGAATCATTGAAAGCAAATATTGAAAGATTTCAGGAATCGAACATAATGGAAATATCAAAGTATTCACAAACATAGCCTAGGTGATATATAGTTGACAGATAATACGGTTCATAATGCTTAACAAAGCAAGTCATTTTAAGATAGAGGGATCAGAATTAAACATTCCAATATAAGAGCATACGACGCTTTAAGTCGTTTTAGAAAAGGGATATAAAAGGCACATTAATTAAATGGGCATTACATTTTAGTTTTGGCTCCAAACCTCTGGTGCTTTGCATAATCAAAGATATTTATGCACATATATCAGTAAATAACAAAAATTATGGTTGCTCAGAATGCTTTTTACCCTGCACACATGTGCATGTGTCATGAGTCAAGACTTAACCTCCGAACCCGCGCGGCTCCGGGACCCGGGCATCCACTCATCCGACATCCTAGATCAGCCTACTTGCCACGGGTCACACCCTTGTGAGGTATTGTCCACTCTGGCCCCTGGCCTCACGGTTTTGTCCTACAAAAGGCGCCTCACAAGGGAAAGATGGTGTGAGCCTTTTTATACCCCAGTGACCCTCCTTTTATATTCGATATGGGATTTATATTCGATATGGGATTCAGGACTCCTCCTTAGGTCCGTGATATTCTCCCCCACCCAACCTCGTGATGCCCTTGTCATGGAGGCTGGCCATCCTGCCTACTTCCCTCGAGGCGCTTGGCGTGGATCGAACGGTTTAGGGCTGGCTCTGATACCACTTGTCACGGCTCGAGACTTAAGCTCCGAACCCGCGCGGCTCTAGGACCCAGGCATCCACTCATCCGACATCCCAGATCAGCCTACCTGCCACGGTTCACACCCTTGTGAGGTATTGTCCGCTCTAGCCCCTGGCCTCACGGTTCTGTCCTACAAAAGACACCTCACAAGGAAGAGATGGTGTGAACCCTTTTATACCCCAGTGACCCTCTTTTTATATTCGATATGAGATTCAAGACTCCTCCTTAGGTCCGTGACACATGCACATAGGCATAGACTGACATTGAGTGTGTGCACATCAAGGAAGCACACACCGCCATGTACATGAACACACACATGTCCACAACAATCATGAGGTGTTTTGATGAATTTTGACGTATAAGGTGAAGTTTAGTCTAACAGTGCCATCTCAAATAAACAAACCTTGACAGGAATAATAGCTTCATAAAGAAGTATAGCATCTCTGGCAGCATGATAGAATTCCAAAGCAACTCTGGTGGATGACAAGCCAACATCCTGCAAGGAGTTATGATAAATGCGATCATGTCCTGAAGTTTACATGCACAAGTGATGCCAACAGAAATAAATATGCATGGGATGCACAAATGCGAGCTAATTTCAGTTAATTTAAATGAGATTCATACTTTAGAGATGGTCATTCCTAGAAAAAAAAAAGATTGAATTATAAAGACTTAGCCGTAACAGTAGCATTGCAATGAATATTAGGTCTCTCTGGACATGAAGAGAACCAAGACTTTCAAGTTGCAATGGATAAGAAATTGGCCCATGGCATTGCAAGAAGAAAATAGGAAAATTAGTGCTTTACCTGAAGTGCCTGATGCACTAGCTCCATCAGTTGAGAGGCTGCTTTTGATACCACGCACCTCTCAGCTGAAAAAAGTAAATCAACAACTTGTTTGGAAGAATTTATAGCCATTCCATCCTTCTTCAGTAAAGGGCCTTTGGAAGTGTACTGCTATAGAAAATTTCATTAATCAAAACCAATAAATCAAAGCCACAAGCCCATAATTTCAATTATTCGAAACTCACTTGAGGAACAAAGAAATCACACTGCAGGAGTAAATTTCTAGCTTTCCCCAAGATTTCCATTTTCTTCCTAAATGCAAAGTGAACCTCAACATTTTCAGCAAAATTACTCAACCTGTCATCTTTGTTATCGGACACCGATATGAACATCATTTCCTTTAAAGCAATCTCAAACTCTGATGTATATTTGATTATCTTCTGAAAGTCAGCAAGTCTTGAGGCATCTTCAGGGACAATCTAAACCAAGATTCACTTGTCAATGTATTACAAATTATATAACAAAACATACCCAGATCCTCCTTTACAGAATAAAAGATGATGCTATCAAGCCACCAGAATCCTAGCAGAATAAAACAAACACATAGGTTTTATTGCCACTGCACCAAGTTCCATCTATTAGGACTTTTGATTTTATTATTCACCAAAATGCTGAAAACCTTTAATAACGGAACCAACATAAACGCAACATTTGGTACCGGAAAGAATAAAATCTACTAGTTAAAAGGAAAAACTTCTGAGAAATGCAATAAAGGAATACAAAAATACTTAATTCCCCTGGTTTTTTCGCTTCCACACACAAGGAAAAGTAGGTAAACAACCACTCCATGAAAGAAAATTTTATGCTCCTATACAGGCATAAATATAAAGATGTCAAAGGAACAATAACTTATTTGCTATACAAATATCATAGAAATCAATTACTGAACACCTATAACAGGCATTCAGTATTCCAAAGTGAAGTCATTATACTAAGGGCAAGCAAAGTATAAGAGAAAGCATTATTATTTTTAAAGTCAAGCATTAGAAAAACAAACCTTTGAGAGAAAGTTGGAGATAATAAGATCCGATATCCTTGGCCAAGTTAACCTTCCAAAAGAATGAATCCATGAACCATTTTCGAAGCATATATGCTTGAAAATAAACCTTATAACTTGAATAACTCTCGCATAGATAGCATCACCATCTGCATCTAAAATCTGAACATTAGAGAGAAGATGTCTCACACCACAACCCATGAATTCCTTTCAAGCAAATATATTAACGCTGACAAATTAGAAGATGCTCTCACCATCTAATAAGATCCATGCTGTCAAAAAACTTGTTGCTCATGAAGAAAACGTGAACAAATAAAATTTCAATGTTCTAATGGACGTTTCAGCTTGCTTTATTTACTGGATTTATATCCTAAATTAGTTAAACCAAGGGTGGCAATTAGCAACCAAGAATTTAGACTATTTGTAGAGAGCAGTTACCTTGTTATCTTGTGAAGGTAATATCTTCAATACTGCCTCAGTGATTCCATCTGAACCATAATTTACATCTTCTACAAATGTTACAAGCGATCGATAGTTTGCAGCTGGAGTAATGACATGCTTGATTATCAAGTCAGCTGCCTTAGCAAAGCCATAATCCAAAATTCCAGCAACCTAAAAGTAACATATCATATTATATCATCACTACATATCTAACCAACAAAGTATCAGGATTAACTGACCAACAAAGACCATAAACACTAAACTAGCAGTAGACAGTTTTCAAAATTATCTAAACTTCATTATACCTCCATCGTAGAAACAAAATACAAAACTTGTCGCCATATGTAAGATTTATTCGGTCAATTCTATAAGCAAAAGGAATATAAGTTATTAACAACTTACATCCATTGCTTCCAAAACGGTATGAAGTTCAATCCCATCGATTTCGTCAACAGATAATCTGTACTTAACTCGAATTGTTCTAGAATCGGGCTCAAACCGAACTGCATTTTCCATGAACTTGACAAGTAACTCTTGCATCTACAAACCCAAATCCAATTCCTCTAAAAAAACAAATCACCAATAAAATGAATAATACCAAAAACCAAAGAGATAAAAATATTAAACGTCAAAATTAATCTATTTCTCTCTCACAGTTTTCCACTATTTTGTCAGTTACCAAACAGAATCTTACATCATCGAATAAATCAGCCCATTGTTTCCTCAATAAACCGTACACAATAGGCTCTACTTCTTCTTCATCGCCAATCCTCAAAGCCTTCTTCAACTCCTTAACTTCCTCAGCGGCGAATCTAAGACGTCCATTACTCAAAGCCGATCTCGCGCCTTCTAATCTCTTGCAAATCCCCACAATTACCCTCAACAAACCTAACAATTCCCTCTTTTCCCTAGCCTCCTTCGTTTTCCTCCCAATCTCATCAACCAACTCACGGATCTCGACATCAATTGGATGATCGGAGATTAACGAGAGAATACAGGAGATGTTGTCAGATATTTCGTTAGTCTCCAGAATGGCGTCGTTGCACTGGGAAAAAAGAGAGGCAAAGCCATCGTGGTGAGAAAGGAGGTAAGATCGGACTTTTGATTTGATTTGAAGTGAGTGGGATTCGAGGCGGAGATCCAGTGGGGCCAGTGGTGTCGAAGGGTCAGAGAGGTCGTGGCCCGAGAGGAGATCACGGACGTTGATCCGGTCAAAGAGTGGGTCCATTCGGAAGATCTGACCGTTGTGGTAGCGTGACCGGAGAGCGTTTTAACGGTTGGTTTCGGAAGAAATAACGGCAGTCCTTTGGTTTTGCTGAGGGGTGGAGTGTCGTATGGAGGTTGGTCCGGTTTGGGCTTAAACTTGGGCATTTTAAGACAAATTTGGGCTAATTTTTATTTGCCCATTAATGAATTTATATAAAAAACAGTTTTTTAATCTTTTAAAAAATTCGAATTTTATATATTTTTTACCATTTGAATCAAACATATGTTGATCTTTAAATTTTGATTTGAGGCAACAATTCTTTTAATATTGTAGGATTAAGAAATTTTAATTTTAATTTATTCATTTTTTATTTTTTAAAAATTTAATTCTAATTTAATTATAAAGAAAAAGTTATTACGATTTTTTTTATTTGATTAAATATATATATCAATGATTATCCTTTATAATTTTCTAACTATTTTTGAAAGTAAAATTAAACTATTAAACTTGGATTAAGAAAAACGAAAATTGTTTTTCCTTTTTTTTATAATAAATTTCATCATATTCTCCTTATGAGTCTTTTTGTCAACATTTTCTTTCGAATTTTTTTTTGGTCAAAATTCAATCTTTTAAAAAAAAAATGAAAGAGAAAAAAAATGAGAAAATAAAAAATTTTGATCTCTCAACTCTCTATGCTATAGGTAATAGATACTAGTGATCTAGACATCAAATGTACGGTATGTAAAGAAATTAAATATTTTTTTATATAAAAAAATTTGTTATTATCATGAATTTAAATTATAAATTTATTAGATATCACCTTTTAACGATGATTATATGAGATAATTAAATTATATTTCAAATTAAAAATTATACTTTAGTTGCTTATTTATAGTTATAATACCTAATTGATGTTTAATTATTAATTCAATAATTGTTTTGATTAATATTATTTAAAATCTTAGACCAAGTTGAAGAAACTATGTACTATTAATTAAATCCACAAACATATTATTATTGAAGAGAACATAATTAATAAGCCTAGAGTGCTAAACTAGAAGATTAATTATAGAAAATTATTATATTATACAGAAAATTTTGCCTACTTTATGTATATAAATTAAAACACTCGGCAAGATAGCGGTGAATTGTCAAAAGAACTTGGCTAGGGAAGTCTTCACCACATGATTGGCTACGATGCCATTGGTTTTCTCTGTCGGGTGAAAAGAATCCCAGAACACGTACTTGTCTGCATCCAAACATGTGAAAGGGTTAATCCCCCTGCATGCGTATCCCATTTCGAACATCCCTGTCGCACAACATGCAACCCCTGTAAACTCGAATCCTGCATATTTATCATTTATAAATTTTTTTATTAAAAATTAAGTAATTAAAATTTAAAATTAATAAATTAAAAGATTTTATGACATTGATCAAGCATGTAAAATTTTGATATATTTTTTAAATAAATATTTTTAATAAAAATATTAATAAAATATTTATCATTAAATAAATAAAAATCAAATTTGAATTGTAAATAATATTTTTAATAATTTTTTATATATTATAAATTTTTACATTAAATTCTATTAATCTATCGATTTAAATATTTTATTTACACATTTTTAATAAAAAACTTTATGAACTTCACCTACAAAATTTTATATAAATTTTGTCTATTTACCACACCAAAACAAGATTTATATATTTTTTATTATTTATAAAAGAGTACATTAAATTTTTTTTAGCTTTTACTAGTTATTATACAATTAAATGTGTCATATATATTATAAAAAATTATACAGTGTTCTTATGCCTCCAACGATACATATTAACAGGGAAAAGATTACATATGCATGGCAACTACACAAATTTCATTCATCTGTATATATAGTACACAAATTTCATTCATATGTATATATAGAAATTGACATTATAAGAGCTAAATTTTTTTAAAAAAAATGCATACGTATGTTATTTATGTATATGAAAATATGTGTATGTAGCATTGTTTTATTAATAGTTAGAATTAGAAATCAAAATGAGAAGATTTTAAGGTTTCGAAAATTAGAATAGAGGGGTAATCGGACTAAAAAATTATATATATATATATATGATGAAAAATAAAAATTTATATTCCCTCCGTCCTATAATATCAATCTTCTATTAATTTTTACGAAATTTATGAAAAATCTTTGATTTTAGTCTATATAATAAATTAAAAAAATTTTCATAAATTTGAAGTTTCATAATTTTTAATAATAAAAAGCAAAATATATATAAAATAATTTTAAAATATAAAAAATAACATAAAAAGGTGGACAAGACGGAGAGAATAATTTTTACTAGTTACTACCTACAAAATTTAATTTTTAATTTAAAATTTATTCGAAAATATATTAATTTGCATGAAATCCATGTCGGTGGGGGGAAGCATAAATGAATAAACAACAATATTTGGCAAAAAACCATATGAAAAAAATAAAGTAGAAGTCTCAAAGTAGAAAGTAGACCACACATAAAAGTCAGCATGGCTTAAATTTTCAGCTGAGAAATCTATAGTTGAAAGAGACAATGAGTGGGGCACACGACCCTATTGTACCTTCCAATTTAAGGCTTCATTTTGACAAAATGAATTCACAATAAAGTTTACGATTCGGGTATTTATATTATATAAAATATTAAAAATTATGTATTATAATTTATATTAATATAAAAATATAAATTTTTTATTTTATTAAATTTATATATAATTATTAATAAAATTTTAAATTTTATTATTATTTTTATTATATTTTTATATTATATTTATATCTTGTGACATGTTTTAAATTGCTGGGTACTTTCAAGTTCACATGCAGGAAATGCAGCATTAATATGACAATATGTACTCATAATATGAACTGGAGAAGTAGTTAGGGCATGACGCAATCAAGAAAAACATACCATAAACCGCTGGCTTTCGTATGATTTCCAACAAAATGCCATACGGATCTGAAAAGACCATGTCCATCCCATGAAACTCCTTGTTCTGCTTGATCACCAAATCGTTCAATTTGACATTGAATTCGGCTGCCACATTGTTTAAACTATCCAAGCATTGATCATTTCCTCCAAGAAGATTTCGGGTTCTCTCCAATGGCATGCACCCCATTGGAGGCACTCCTCCTAACGATATTTTTCTGGCACCTAGATCGTACAGTTCCTTTGTGAAATTTCCGGCGATTCCTACCAGGAAGTTTTCGTATTCTCTTATGGTGTATTCCGATGAACGGCCTGGGATTGCGTAGTAGTTTTCAACGAAGTCATTTGTTCCAATGCTTATTATGTATAAGGCCTCCCTGATTATATCGTTCGCTTTCCGATCTCCAAGATTGGCTCTCAGTTTCGTTTGGTAATCCTTGTAATATTCCAGTTCTTTCCATAGTGGTATCACTGACTGCAAGGCAAAGTGTTCAAATTCATTGAGTAAAGAACCCGAAATTTAGATAAGTTAGTTCATGTGCAGCCACCCACCCCGTAACATTTAACAAGTTCGAGTACAATCTAAATTATCATTATAGGTTTGAGTATACACGTACACATATACATAAAAGCGTATAAACACTGTAGGATAATAAATCACTAGCGACGTTTATAAACGTTGATTCATAACGTTTGTCAAAAATATCATTAAATAGCATTGGTTATATCTATGTCGGAGAAAATAATGATGTTTTAAGAAAAAAATATATATATACGTTTGAACATATACGTCCACATACACAAAAGAGTATAATTAAATATAAACACATGCATGCACATGTTAACACTTGAATTCATGTGCAAAACCAATTGATCCTTTGTCTGAAAATTGAACACTTCCCCATTAGTTGTCAGAAAGTAATGAAAACTTACAAGAACATCGGAAGTGGCATTGTCGTAGCCAGTTCCAGCAGAAGCGAAGGTAACGCCGGTGGCGAAATCTGATATGCTATATCCAGGATCGAGGTATGCAGGAATGGCCCCTTTGAGCCCAAAAGCCTCGGAGATGAAGTCAGTTGCGATTTTGCCATTGGAGAACCTTCCTGTTGGATGGCCACCATCGAAATCACGACCGTAAGGCCCAAAATTGCTCCTGGCAATCGTGGGAATATAGTTGTTGTTCCCAGCATCAACTGATGAGTCTCCGAACACTATGATGGCTGGAATTTTTGCCCCATGAATCTTTGCAACCATAACCAAAAAATGAACAAAAGGGAGCCATAAGATGTGTATCGAAGCCATTAATTTGCTTCACTTGTATAAGTTTTAAAGCAAGTTACTCAAAATGTGAAAGGGTCGGATGAATTGGATGGAACAAGGCTTTGATATGTATAAATATTAGTTGGATGGGAAGTAATTGGGGAGTTAAATCTTGGGGAAAATGTTGGTGGCAGATTTAAGAGCTGCCAAAAAAAGGTATACTTAGACAATGTGTTAACGGTCCGATTGGGTAAAGATTAAAGAAGTCAAACTTCTGTGACGAAGATTCTTCATGCTTTAGCTAATTATAGATCACAAATTCACAATTGAAGCTTTTCATTTTTTTTTTTAAATTAAAATCATAATATATCATCAAATATCCCTTATATTATCATTGAAATACTAGAGTTATTTATGAATCGAGTTACTTGTCGTGGTTTTGGATAAAAATTTTAAAATTGAAATTTGATTTAACTTTGAAATAATAACATTTATAAAATTATTTTTAATTAAATTTTTTAAAATATTAATATAATGTTTTTAATATTTTAATTATATACTTGACTTAAATGGACAGATCAAACCTCTCTAGACCCAAATTAGGGATTATATTTTGTAATAAAATTTTTGTTTTTTTAAAATCCAATTCTAATTGTTTTCTTCAATCTATTAATTTGAATCATTATACTACCTTTGAATTAATAAATTTGGGGATTATTCAAAACTAATATTTCTTTTGACAAAACAAAATTAATACTTAATTATGGAAACTATTACTTTATTGACTTTCTTATCAATAGTTATCATACTATATTTGTTTTTTTTTTCTCCGGAATTAAAGTTTGATTGAACTATTTAGCCATGACGAAACTACAAACCAAAAAGGTTCACTCAAATGTCAAGGCCATCTCTTGTCATATCTTCGAAAGGAATTGGTATAGGTGTTGTTAAGCTTGGGGCAAGCTAATCCAATGAAAGTTGGAAATTAGCCTAATTCAACTATACGAAATTCAAATTTTATTCAAATTTGATCGAATTTATTTTATTTTATTTAAATTATATTGTTAAATATTGAATCTTAAAATTAAGAGTTGGCATAAAATATTAAATTATTTTGTTTCGAATCATGTATGCATACTTGAATATTGGGTAAGGGTAAAAAAAATAAAAAAAATTAAAAATTAATTTGAAATTATAGTATTTAATTTGAATCATTTTTTCTTATTGGGTTTGTATTAAATTTAGATATTAAACAAATAAATATACATATATTAAGTTTGGATTAGATTTCGAATCGAAATGTGAAAAACAAAAAATAAAACTAAATCTAAATATATATTTTTATTAATTTTTATAGATTTTTTAAATTTTTATAAAATAAAAATAATTATTTTATATAAATCTATTTAAACATATTAAAAATCTTATTAAAACAATATATAAAAACAAAAAAAATCAAATTTAAAAATTGATAAATCAAATCGATAAAATTTAATTTGAATCGAATCAATTTTAAATTAATTTAAATTCAAATTAAATTTTAAAATTTTATAATATTATGTATTATTTTAAAAAAATTAAATCGAATCAAATTCGATCCGATTCAAACTGTTATTATCTTTAATACTGGTTTGTGAACAAGAGTAAGGAGCGAAGAACTAGCTTGACTCCACAGCTACAGCTGCCATGAAAGATCAGTGAAGGTAAAAGCAATTGAGAAAAGATAGATTAATTTTATTAAATATCCACACGCAAAAGCCAAAATGTTAGATATGTAGGCAGTTGTAACCGCCCAAGACTATGACTGCAGTTTCTTTGTTCGGGCAGCTACGGTCAAGGCATTGAGAGGCCTATCCAACGAGAAATGAGGCGCGTTTCTTTTAGTCGGCAACTAACCCAGTTCTGCACTAACCCTTTATTATTTTCCCTAAGGCAAGCAGCACAGACACAGTTATTGTTTTTGTGGAAGATGGAAGTGGGAAAGAACAAATAAAGAAAGAAAACTACACAAAACTGGAATTCCCATTTAAGAGGAAATTTTGAATTCTATGCTGCAGAGAAACATTCTTCTGATCTTCTATGCCAGGGATGGCAATATTATTGCTATGTTCCCATCCATGGAAGGTGCGGGACGTCCCTTTTCCCAAAGGGTAAGGTCGATGATGTATAATAAATTTAGAATTTAAATATTAACAATATTTAATAATCTAAAATACGATAATACAACATAAATATAATATAAAAATAAAATACAAAAGTGATATGATTTAAGATTTTAATAATAATTAAATATAAATTTAATAAAATAAAAATAATATTTTATATTTTTATATCGATACGAATTATAACACGTATTTTTCGTGTAAAATATAATATAAATTTAAATATTTTATATAATACAAATACATAAATTATCAAATTTATAGCATATCAATTATTTTTATTATTTTCAAGATGCGACTTCTTTTATAAAAAAAAATACAAAGTAAATATATATAATTTTGATAAATTCAAATAATTTTATGCTTGATTGACTCATATAATGTGTAATATATATTTTTAAATTTTTTTCGTGATGGTTATTTTTGAGATTTTTGTAATACAATAAGATAATGTCATGAATAATTTCGTCTATGCTTTGATTAATTTTTCAATTAATCAATATTTTATTCGTCTTCGTGATTTGAAACTCAATATGATTTCATAACTTCTTCTATGCTTTGGTACTCATTCTGTACAATGTTTCTTTACTGAGACTGTTTCCAAAAAAAAAAAAAAATACAGACACTGAAATTGAAAACCTATATGAGTTTGATGTTATAAAATTATTAAGTTGCTGTCGGAATTATAAATGACCATTGAAAAGAAGGAAAAAGTTGATATATAGTATGGTACTAATTTTAAAAGTACGCTGTCGTAGAGAGGGGAAAATCTCTATGGGTTAGCATCTCATTAGGCCGACGCTCATAATTATTCGACGTCGTTTAAAAATAACAATACAAATTCACTGAACTAATTTTTTTTTTGAACAAAAGGGGCTTTGATTTGATGGCCTACTATACTCTATTAAACTGTAACATTTGTTAATTTGGAAATCACATCAAACTTATCAGCTTTTGATTTTTTTATTTATAATTTAAAATATAATATAATAATATAATATAAATATGATACGAATTAAAAATATAAAAATGATATAATAAAAAATTTTAATAATAATTATATATAAATTTAATAAAATAAAAAATAAATTTTATATTTCCGTATAGATATAAATTTAAAAACATAATTTTTATATAAAATATGATATAATATAAAATTTAAATATTTTATTATTTCAATTCAATTCTAGAAGGTTACTCAGCTTCCATCAGGTTTTTACTGTTCAAGACTTCATGGGCTGGGCTGTCCATCTCGACTTGCACGCCGAAACCAAATTTATGTCATTTACCTTTGTCTTTTAATATGCGAAAACGAATGGATAGAGTCATATTATCCAGGACAGGGCTATGAGTCCAGGTTTGCATTAGATATCGGCCTATTAGCCCAAATATCACGGTTTGATCGTTTTGATTGCTGCGGCCTGTACTCTTTCTGCTTCGGATGTCGCATTTCTTTGCAACTCGAAGAGAAGAGAACTAGAGAAGTTATCGATGTCGTTGGCAGCGATTCGATGGGAGAAGGTTAGGAGTAGCATTTGTTTGAAGAGCCCATTGAGGAGATATTTATGGGTTTCGAGCAGATCCTTAATAGAGAGAGCGGCCAAAGAAGGGGAGCTAAGAATATTCATTGTTGCAGGAGAGGTTAGTGGAGATACCATTGGTTCTCGTCTTATGGCTTCCTTGAAGAAGCTTTCTCCTGTTACTATCCGTTTCTCTGGTGTAGGCGGGTAAGCGTTTTTAGCTGTTCACCATTAACTTTACCTTCTTTCTAGTTCTGGTCTATTGATAAACTCTAATTGTTAGAACCTGGAAGTCTTGCGCTGCCATTATGTAGCTTAAGAATGAATTTTGAGTACCGGTTTGATTTCTTTTGTACTCTTAAGGAAAAGAGTAATAAAATAACTAAACAGGAAAGGGTATGCATAAATGACTCAGGAAAGGTGTTTAATTGTTTATTCTTCCTATTGATCTCAGTTGGCACAATTATTTTGATGTTAGTAATCTGAATTTTCATGGAGTTCATTCTAAAGCCATGTATCTGTATCTGTAAGGTCCATGATGTCCAAGGAAGGTTTGAGATCCTTGTTTCCCATGGAGAATATTGCAGTAATGGGAATCTGGGAGTTATTGCCACACCTTTATAATTTCAGAGTGAGTAGTTTGAAACCAATGTAATTGGACCTTTACTATAAGACTATGCAGTAAAAGAATGATGGACCTTTGAGATTCGATGAAATGTAGGTAAAGTTGAAGGAAACTGTGGAGGCTGCATTCCAGTTCCAGCCTCATGCAGTTGTGACAGTGGACTCCAAGGGTTTTTCTTTCCGTCTCCTTAAGCAGTTACGTGGTAATATTACCAACTTCTTGGAGTTAGGATCTACGTTTACATATTTATGCATTGCCTTTGCGATAATATGCAGTTGGAATATAGGAAATGCTTTTTGCAGCTAGATACAATGAGCAAAGGTCAGATGGTCCAGTACACTTTCATTATGTGGCACCATCATTCTGGGCATGGAAAGGGGGTGAAACAAGACTCAAAGGCCTAGCTAAATTTGTGGATCATGTGTTCTGTATACTTCCAAATGAGGAAGCAGGTTGTCAATCAAATGGACTGGCTGCAACCTTTGTTGGTCACCCCATTCTGGAAGATGTTTTAGAACTGAACATGGTATCAATTCATCTTCCACATTGTGATGTGTGTTGGTATCATTTTAACTTATCTTATAAAATGTTATAGTTGTGGGATACTTCAGTTTCTTAAAACTTTATTATTTATGTTTAGGGAAAGGAAACCACATTGCATGGGTGGAAGATAAGAGGAAATGGTGAAGATTTTCAAAAAAAATATGCCATACCTTCAGGTAATTTGAAGATGAAGTGATGAACCTAAGCAAGTTATAGAAACTCAGCAGTTTTTTATTCACATATATAGCTTAAAATTGTATTTCGACCTTGATGTTGATAGTGAACTTAATCATTAGAGAATGCTTAACTACCTCAAAGAGTGGAGGTTGCTCCATTATAGGAGATTCACTTTCTCATCTGGTAGTTGTTTTCTATTTTGTATTTATCATCAGTATGAATCCTTCACTCTGAACTTCCAGATTGCACACCATCTCTTTTATCTTTCATCAGTATGATATTTATAACATCTACGGTCCAACATAGGGTCCAACTCTCTGGTTATTCTGTTTTTTAAAATCATTCTATGGTAGTTCTTTTTGAAGCTGTTGGGATCAATCAAAACCTAAAAAAAATCACTGAAATATATTAGAATTTGGATTTTGGTTATTTTCATTTCTTTTTGTGTGCAATGTGTTTATGTGTATGTCTGCAGGGCACATACTAATTGATGCTTTATTTTGTGTTCTTAAATATTGAATAAAAACAATGTCTAATGCATAATTACTTGAATTTTGCAAAGAAACGACAGTTATTTCCTTGTTACCTGGAAGCAGATTACAAGAGGTCACTAGAATGCTTCCCATCTTTTCAAACACAATGAAACTATTAAAAGACTCTTTCCCTGAGTTGATAACGGTCATCCATGTGGCACCTAATCAACTGGTGGACAACTATATTACTAGCGCCATTCATAAGTGGCCTGTACCTTCTATATTGATTCCAGGAGGAGCCCCACAACTGAAATATGATGCATTCAATGTAAGTCCTTCCAGTGCTCACTTTACATGTCTTGATTGTAATTCAGTGAGATATTCACAGGTCACAGCTACGGTCAACTTAATGGTCTATAGATATTCACAGATAGTTTTAATGTATTGGATTGTGTTGGGGATGAGTTTCTCATTCAACTGACTAGAAGATTGAACATGTTTGTTTGCCCGGTTGCTTAGTTCTAATGAACTCCAGATTATGATTGAGGAAACTGTAATAATTGAATAGTTTATTTGATTGAATATGAGTCAAAAGTATTTCCAAAATGTTTGATCTATGAATTGCTGTGGATGCATATGAAAAAGCACATGTTCTCTTGGAACTTAGTTTTCCAGTATTAGTTAACTCAGTACAACCAAAAGTTGCGGGTTTTTTTCCTGACAAAATCTTTTCTTGCAAAAACTGTTCAGCAAGTAATCCATCTCATTTTTTTGATTATCCAATGGTACTGTATGGGTATGGCCAATTCCCCAGTAAAATATCAATAAAGCTTAATGAGACTGTTAAGAAGATTTAGTTCAGTATATTACTGGCAAAAACTTTGGCAGGCAAACTTCGATTTGAGCTCCTGATTAGGATAGGACGCTCTATGGATTTTGCTGTCTGACTGCTCTGACTATTGGTATTAAAAAAAAAATTAATTACTCCAAGGTCAAAGCATCTCGTCATTTGATTACCACTTGCATTTTGGGCATTCTGTACTATCATAGCTTCAATTGTTACTCATGTAATAGTAGAACCGGTATAGCCTCATTTGTTTACTGAACTTAATGATAATATAGATAAGTTGAGTTGACAGGATATGAATCAGGACTTAGATTCAGGATAGAAGCTTTTGTGTCTATTAATTCAAATTTCATGGACTTGAATGCTATTCTATTGTTAACTTTATTAGTAGTGCAGGCTAGCCGAGTTGCCTTATGTACTTCTGGAACTGTTGCTATGGAGCTGCAGCTTGCAAGGTTACCTTGTTTAGTTACGTATCGAGCCCATCTCCTTACTGAATGGTTCATTCGCTACAAAGCAAAGATACCATACATCTCACTTCCCAATATCCTCTTGGATTCACCTGTTATTCCTGAAGCTTTATTTCAAGCATGTACACCCACTAAAGTAGCATTCTCACTCAAGTAAGAAATTTTTACAGTACTGGCATGAATTGTCCTTTGTAAATTCCAAGTTGTAATTAAGCAAAATTTTAAAAAGTGTTGTTTTGGTGCTGATATTGATTTCTTCTTAGACATTTACAGTCTCGATATAATGCACCGTCATGGTTCTTAACTTGGTTAACGTTGCAGGGAATTGATGAACAATATAGTACTCCAACAGCAACAAATTGTAGCTGCTGAGAAAGTCATGGAACTCTTATGCCCACCGAACATAACTGTAAACAACTTGGAACAGCAGGGTAGTTATACTCCAAGTTTGATTGCAGCATCCACCATACTTAGCTATGGGCAGAGATGACGGCTAGCTCAACCATTATCATATGTTCAAAACTTGATAAATGTTTGAAACTGTGATGAGAATGAACTTGCATCATCAAACTATACCATAGGACACAGTTGGATTAGTCAAGTCAATAGCAACATGGCAAATTTAGGCCATAGGCATTGCTATATCTTAAACCGTATGTTTTTTCGATTATATTGGATTATATGAGCAATATCATTTTTTTTTCTGAAAAAATTATTATTTATTTTGTACTGTATATGATAATTAAATTATGAATATTTATTTTAACAGATTCATTAATGATTTAGATAATAAATAATTGACTTTTTAAAAAAATAGGATTACCAAAAATATATGTTAACATATGTTAATATGAAATAACCATTTCATACGATCTTTTCTCCTCTTTCTCCGCTAATCAAGTGTTATCATGGGATATGGTGCTCGGAAACCTAAGCTACAAATTTGCCATGTCTATCTGAAGACCAGCTCAACTCAACTCAAACAGCACCACGAAAGCCACAAATTCATATCACCCCTTAGAAAGCTTTCTTTAAATCTCCACTGCTCTATTCCCATTCATAAGCAAACAGAAACCAAAAAAATAAAAAAGAAAACAACACTCAGTCTCCATTTACCACATTCCTATATCAACACAAATTCAGAAGAATTAATCACTGTTTTTGGGGATTTTCGGGGAGAAAAAAAAAAATGGCTATATCCAAAGGAATGATTGTTTTCTGCTTCATGACACTTATGGTCTGCAGCTTCTTGGTTAAAGCCAGCAATGCTGATATTAGTGCTGAAGAATGTAACCATGCACATCCAGGTGACAGCCAACGATGTGCTGATTATCCTGAAGAAGATGATGATTTTGATGATACTTACAAGATTGCCAAAGACGTGAAGATATCGTCCGAGGTGATTGTACTTGGACATTAATTAAAGCCCAATGCCGTTGCAGAAACTCATTTCCTCCAAGCTTTTGGAAGCTCCCATGGTTCTAAAATCTTCAGATGGCATCCTTAATTCACCAGTGTTTCCATTTCTTTTGTCTCTATTCTCCTGTTTGAAAGAGTTTCTACTTTTGTTTTCCTGCTGCAAGCTGTTTGCATTCTTCTATCATATCGAGTTTTATTTTAAAAGGATTGCGACTTGTTTTTTCTGCCTTATTTATGTTAATCGTCAGTTAAGTTTGTAAATTTTAAAACAAAATAAGTAAAATTGATCCACTCTTTCTATTAGTTCAATTAAAAATTTAGTTCAATAATCTAAGCAAACGATTTTTAAATAAAATTAGCATAAATTATAGTTAAATTTATCTCATCAATTCTAATAATTTCCTATATTTTTAAAAAACTCTCGATCACATCATTATTTTTAAAAAAAACTATTTGTTAAAATGAAAATAAAAATATCAAAATTTTACCAAAATAATTAAGAGTTCCAACTAAGAAAGCCCTAATGAAAAGGCACATAGAGAGGATGAAGATTCGTGGAACTATTCGGCCAATGACTGATGAAGGTTTGGCTGGGATGCGAAGACCTGAAAGTTAAATGTCTATATACTAAGCTTTTGTTTAATCAAATAATTACTTCTTGTTGTTTAAAAATGATTTCTCCCTCCTTTGAATTCTTTATATGAATATTTTTTTGCCGACAAATTGCTATATGATAAAAAAAAATCCAATGCAAGTTTTCATTCAAAAGTAAAAAAAATATTAAAAATTCGTGTATTCGTATTATATAAAATATTAAAATTTATCTATTCAATAATTCTTAAAATTTTAATTTGTATCATATTTTTCGTATTATATTCTAAATTATCTTATTTAAGTAGAATCATAGCTGAGATCGTCTATGGTGAACTTTGTTTTTAGTTTCCTGTTTAAGTAAGTCAACTAAGACTAACAGGAAATATATGTTGAGGCAGTTAAGATCAGATTTTAGCTTAAGCTCGGTTGCTCTTCATTCTCTCCATCAACCAGGAAGGTTTCATGGCTTTTTCCAAGTTTCAGGCGTTCTATAACCACCCTGCTGGGCCAAAGACTAGTTTGTTTCCTTCATCCTCCATGCCCTTTTGTTTAATTGCTATATTACAAATGTTTATTAGAGTAATTTTTTGTTAATAATTTGCTTCATTTCAGTTTTGCAAATTTGATTAATTGCAATAACCCATTGTTGCTTCCTCTTTGAACATGTGAAAATCTTCCCTGAATATGTCATTTGGCATTTCCTGCATCACAATTTTCATTATTTCAGTTAAAATAAAGATTTTCTTGATAAATTAAATAGGTTTTCCATCTAAGACAATCTTTTCTATATATATATATTTTTTTTTTTCATGATTTGATCGTTAAAATTAAAAATTCATCATTCTATCGACTGTTCATGAAATTGTTGGCAAAGTGCTATAGAAATTTTTTGTTGTTTTTTTCGCAATTCAGAAACAACTGGTTGAACTTTTTTATCTGCATACTCTCTTGGATTAATCTTGTTTTCATTTTTCCTAAAACGTAATTGCAGTTCATTTCTGGGCGCCAACTTTCAAATGGGCTATAAACATTGCCAATGTCGTTGACATTTCAACAAAGCCAGCTGAAACAGTCTCTTACCCTCAGCAAGCAGGTCTGATCTGATCACCTTTGGTTGGCTTTTTTGCTCTAATTTTTCTTCACCTCTATCACATATTGACGTCAAGAAGCATGTTAGTTTTCAGTAGCAATCATTTGTTTCATTCCCCTTTTGTGTGGTTTTTCAGCTTTAGCATGCAGTGGCCTTATCTGGGCAAAGTACAGTACTGTAATCACCCCGGTATGTATCTATGTTCATTGGAAAGTTTATATTAGGTTTTTCATTTTTGTGTTCTTGGTTAAGAGCAAATTTCCCAATTACAAACCATTCATTTTGAGAATATTGCAGAAGAATTGGAACCTATTTGGTGTTAGTATTGCAATGGCTGCAACTGCTTCTTACCAACTTTCACGTAAAATTCAGTAAGTTCCACTTATTACATTACATTCGACTGTGATGTGAGTAAATAACAGGAGTTAAGGATTCTCTGTAAAATGTTCAGGCATGAGTTCATCAACAAATCGTCTGTTGCAAAAGAATGGTGAGGAGAACTGGTTTCAACGAATAAGGGAGTGAAGTTGTAATTTAGAGTACTGTTTCCTCCATGGATTATCGATTCTTGAATAAATGACAACTTTTGTCTTCATTAAAACAGACGATCGAAAGACCCTTTATCTGTTTATGTATGAATTGGATGAATTCATAGCATTCAGTAACATTCCTGCTGATTTAATATGAATTCATTATTCATCCAAACTTACTCAATCCAAAACTTTATCGGTTGCCTATGTTCTTCGTATCAATGATACATTGATACTTGTAAATTATTTGAGTTTGATTTGAATAAAACTCGAATTCGACTTGATTATTATCGAGTCAAGTTCATATTTATATAGTTTGACTTATCGATCAAGTCAAGATCGAATATTCTTATACTAGATTATACTAGGTTTGAATAGATATCTCAAACTCGAATTCAAGCACAAATAATTGAACTTTTGTCAAATATAAAAATCAAACTTATTTTTATATGTTAATCGAATCTAATCAAACGAACTCGAATAACTCGATTTCTATCTTAAATCAAGCTCAAACTAAAAAAAAAAAACTCAATCGAGCTTGAGTTAAATTTCGAATTTAGAATCAAGCTCGCGCTTAAGATTGTATCGGTTTGAACTTGATTGATTACATCCCTAATTCATACTCAATGTAGGAACACCATTGTCCCTGCAAGGACCGGCAAATATAATGACTTTTGGATAGAGAACCGTCTACAGGTCCAGAAGAAAAGCATTTTTGTTCTGAAAATGAAAAACATAAAGAATGCACATTGATTTTACTGAAAATCATCTTTGTATATGAAATAGGCACCCAGAAGGGATCTACCAACTCAGTCACATCTAACAAACCAGAAAACTTTTAACATCTACTCGCAATTTACAGCCAAATTTCATATAAAACCTTTAAAAAGTCAGACTTATTCATTTTCTGGTGAAATGGTTGATCTTGCAAAAGAAACTTAAGGAATTTAAGTGCCGTACATGGGAATATCACTGCGACTAGGGTTTGCTAGGCTTTCAGAGGTACTTTTCGGGGTGTGACCAGCACCATATGTGAACTCATGCAGCGGAACTTCTAAAGGTGGACAGGCAAAAATAGAAGTAGCACCAAGATTGTTGAAAGCAGGAAGAGGAAGAGGAAGAGGAACTGGATCATTTGACTTTGAGAAGCCAAAGTTGAAGGATGGGGCGACCGCAGGTGAGAAGGTAGGCAGAGCAGGATTGCTGCTATCAGATGATCCAATGATCTTTCGCTCATATTCCTGCAATTGCCGGTAGACAGCTATAAATCACAAACAGCAAATGAAAATCAGAAGTAAAATTGCTTTTTGAAAGTGCAAAAGCAAATATACATACAATATCAAAATAATAGTATTGACAAGATCATACTGTTATAAACATCAGAACTACAAGTCATGAATAAAGCATTTCTACCTCTAAATTCTCTCAGATGGCGGGAAAAAGTCGATTTGTTAGACAAATACCATGCAATCTAACAAATACCAATCAGAAACTGGAAAAACATTGATGATAGTTTCAGCAGCATTAGACTTTTTCCTCTGCCAAATGATATTATATGGACATTCATTTTTCCTCTTCCAAATAATATCAAGTGACATTCCTATATTGTTAATGACATTCAATTAACTAAAACAACATATTAAGTATTATTAACAACATAAAATGCCTTCCTTGATATTAGGTAATCTAAGTCAAGGCTGGTAAATACCTTGACTTAACAGATGATCTCTGTTCTTTCACCCACTGATAGCTCTGTGGAAGCCTCCATCCTTTAGACTTCATCAAGTAAGCTATTACAATAGCTGGTGACCTATCAGAAAGAATATAATCATCCTCAAAACAATTTGTTTGTTTAAATGGGTATACACACACACACCAGACCATTTGGTTCAATGGTAGGTGTATGCATCCCTTCTCGAAGAGTCGGAATCCCTCCTTCCCCAAATCAAAAGATAAAAAAAATGGGTATACACAAACATACACAGCAGTTTATCTCCTATGTATAAAATGACAAGGTGGCCTGAAGCTATCTGCAGGGCATCTTATTGGGAAAGATTCTGGGGTAAGGTCCCTTGGTTCTTTCACCATAGTCTATAAGCAAAATCCTATTTTCAGCATTCAATTTTTTTTTTTTTTTGTATAAAGAAGATTTATATAAAAAGCAAAAAAAAGGCTCATTTTTCTTTTGGTGTTTATTTCTTGGATAAGAAAAGAAATGAAGAAGCAGTAAAATCAACCTATTTTTTCCTGACATGCAGTGCACAAGGACTTGAGCCTTATCCCTCTCACATTGCTCTGCAGAAATGAACCATAGGTCATAATATGCCCATAAGAATATAGAACTATGAAACAGGTCAACTGGAAGTGTCTGAGCTACTGCAATGCAACTGAAAAACATTAATTAAATATCATTGGCATAAGATCTGCAAGCAAACTCTCTAACAGGCATTTTCACTAGGGTAATAAAGGGCATCGTGATTTAAGCAGAGCAAACCACAACGATATTACCAAGTTGAGAAAAGTGATTGAGATGTAAACTCAATATCATAGAAAGGTTTCCAAATTGTGAATGTGCAGAGCATCTAGGAAAGCACATGTATTTGACAGCAGAATACCTACAGTTGACCATGTGAATAAAGAAATTAAAGAAGCACTTCATTATGTAAATATAAAAAGAGAAAATATACTCGATAAATGCTTCTCAGGACCTCAAAGAGTGTGAATGTTATTGAGTGCTGCAAAGACCAACATCTTGAAATTTGCACAGGCAAAAAAATTGATGCATGAAAGAGGAAATACCAAAGACATACACGAAAGAGGATATAGCAAAGCCAAGCTTCTGACCACAAACTGAAACTTCATAATGCAACACAAGGTTAGCGCACCTAAAAATTGTACTGCATCATCAAATTGTAAAATTTTGTCATCTTGCAGGCAGTGATAGGTGAATGAATTCTTGTAGAGATTTTGACAAGCAGGTACAGTCTGTAAAGAGATAATATAAATACCATAAGAATATGTCATAAAGTAAGCTACAATTTTGACACCTGACAGCCATCAATATGCATTTTAGCAGCCACAACATCCAAGAAAAAGGAAGAGAACAAACTGCAGAATGAAAAATGAAAAAGAACAGATCTTGACACCATCAATATTACTACTTTCCAAGATGTTCCTTTCAATCCCATCACTAATAGCAATTTGATGATAGCAAACTACTTGCCGGCTTAGTTTAAAATTTATGATTCGCAACGTCAATAACATAACCCAGCAGTCATCAAAGTCCCCAATCCCAATTTCTCCTCATTCCTAATATAGTATCAGTTAAATTAGGTTCAAAACATAATCATTTCACCACTCTTTGAAACAAGAAGATCATTCTTCTTTGGCCCTATTCCCATAAAATTCAGTTTTTTACTCTTAGAAAAGGCAAACAGAATATATAAACTTCCACAATGTCTAAATCTAACAAACAAGCTATTTATTGGCTGCTATGTTTTGCCACCTTCTGGTATTCTAAATGTCTGCTGGCTCTGTACAAAACTTTAATTTACTATTAAAAGGATATCCAAAGGAACTATGATGCACCTATTGCTCTCCAGTTATGATAAATTTGATCCAATACCATTGTTGTATATCATTCATCCCTTAACTTCAAACTGTCCACTATTCTATGCCTATCTACCTAAGATAATGAAAGCATTAATTATCCTATTTTAAAATTCTCAAGTAACATTATGAAAATCTTACAACTTCAATTTTATGCCAAATACCACCATTAGTTCTCTTTTCAAACACTCAAGACTTAAAAAAAAAAAAAAAAAATCACTCTCAGGACTGTTTGACTATCAAATCTTACTATTATCATACATCCTGCTATGGTCTTGCCTCACGTCAAAATCATACATTCGCATCTACATGTCTTCCCCATGATTTTAACTATTATCAGTAATACTAGCCTTAGCCTCATTTGCAAAAGGCAAGCCCCAAGGAATATCATCGTAGAAATCCGTTGTAACTCATATAAGTTTAGCCAAAAGGTTAAGGCTTAAAGTATAGTCTCAGTGTAAATCTACTGTAACAGGATAGTACTCATATTAACTTCATTCAATTCTCAAAGTTGCTAATAATCTTTCATTCACACCCCTATTCCCGCAGGTAACAATAAGACTTCTGTAGTACAACTGACATAGTAATTTTATATATCAATAAAGTTACAAGATCTCCCTCATACAAGGACTAATTCAATCATTAATCTCCTACTCTACCTGACAAATAATTAACATGCAGAAATCCCATCAAAGTTCTTCAAAAAGCAGTTTTAGAAACCTTAACATGCACGAGAAAACCATAAGCTGAAACCAATACTATAAGCAAGCAATAATAATAATAAACAAAGAAGAAGAAGGGGATTACAGGACATGACTAATTCCCTGAGTCTTGAGAAGCTCAGAGCGAGAAGCGTTATCATAGCTACCCAAATAGAGAAAGTTAGGCCAGATCACAGATGGAAAAGCACTGACTTGAAGCGATGTTTTCTCAGAAGAAACGGGAGCTCTGTGCCCACATATCCCACAAACTTCCCCTTCGTCGTACTTGTGATTGTGCCTACATACCCCACACGGATGCTCCCTCTCCCTCTTCCTCATCCCCACCCACCACCCCAAACACCAAAAAACCAACAATTTTTGGTTTATACCCAGATGTACAAAAACAAAAATGAAAAAGACCCAAAGTTTCTTTTTGGGAATCGAAGTCTTTTTAGTTGAAAGAAGGTTCTTTCCTGAGTCATATGAGAGATTTGTACTTTGATTTTATGTTTTTTATAATTGTAGTATGATTTTTATATAAAATAAAAGATAGAGCAGTAAACGTGCATTGCCTCGACCGTGGGAAATCACCGATTTTTACTCGTTGAAAATTGAGCAAAACATGTGTCTTTTGGTCAAGGTTTGGTGCTGCTTGCTTTAAACATGAGGACCTGATGAATTTATATGCATTGTGATGTGCTAAACCTTCATTTGTTGTCAAACCATTAGTAAATAAAAAAAAATACTATTTTCCCCGCATATGGGAAGTAAAAAGCAACCGAACCAATTTTAAGTGTGTTCCCCTTTTGATAAAGATAGTTCAGAGCTTCACTGTCGCTCAACGTGAGTTAAACCCTGCCTCGGACAAACCAAACAGGTGGCCATGGCAAGGCGTTGTTGGCATAAACTCAAGACGACATGTCGTTTCCAACTGGGTCGTCGTCGCTGGTAGTGCACCTTTGTGCACTCTCATTTCTTCTTTCGCTTGTAAAAACTTTCTCAGTGGTAGTAAAAGCCTCGTTGGTTATTTGTTTTGGGGTTTCAGCGCTTGGCGCGGTAACCCTACTTGAATGCGGATTAGAGACAACATGGAAACATTTGATAGAAAGCAAGTGTGGGATAAGGGCAGTAACCCCAGAAGTTCTAAAGATGAATGCTTTTGATAAAGAAACTCAGATGCTTACCTTCGATCAGTTCACTTCTAAAGTTGCTGCAACTGTGCCTGTGGGACTAACGCCGGTGAGTTCAATCAAGACCTTTGGCTTAATTCTAAGGTAATCCTGTTTTTCTTTTTTGGTGATTTTGGTTGATGACCAATAAATTGTACTTTGTTGTTTGTTACATTGTCATGTGGTATTTTGATCTGAGTCGAGGTTTTGGCTTGTGGGTTGAAGTAGTGAAGCAATAAATTTTGGGTTTTAAGAAGGTAGATTGGGTGCTTCTGAGGTGAAGTGTTTAGTTTTTAAAACTCTATGGAACAAGTTCTCCAGTAAATATTGGAGGGGAGGATGATGTTACATTGAATGTTACTGGTGCATGCAACTATGAAGGAGGCTTTAATTTGCAAGCTGTTTTATGGTCTGAATATGACTACTATTTTTTTCAATAGAAAGAGAACTGTCTGCTTGGAAAGAGGCTTCTTTTGTGCCTTGTTGTGATTATCAATTTTCAAATCTCAGAATCCAAAGTTGTTTTATTATTTTTAAAGTGATGTGCAGTGCCTAGTCTGATACTAGATTACTTATTTATGCCAATGAAGATTAATTAAAACTCTTTGTTCTGCAAGACAAGCAACTATCCGATGAAATTTCTGATTCTGTGCATGTTACAATAGATGATTCTTGTTGCTTAATGCATTATGGGCTGGTGATGAAGCTTTAAAAGATGCAAAATGGGTACCAACTGAGCAGGAACAGAAGGAAAGAAAGATAATCACTTACTAATTGCTGATAATATGTGATATATAGATCTTCTCTAGTTTCTTTTCAGTAACTTATTCTTTATTAACATGTGAGTAACCAAAGCTGCTTCTTCCATCAATGTCCACAAATTACAAAGGACTAAAGTACCATGGAAATGATGATAAGAGTTTAAAAGGGACAAAGCTCTGTCCAAAAAATAGTATCTTAGATGATTACTACTAGCTGTGAGTTCCAATTTGTGAGCAACTTGTGCTATTATCCAAACCATTGATGGTATATTTCAAAGCAGTGAAAATACTTTTACCTTTCACAAGACTGTCTAAATGGAAATGAAACACTACTAAGAGTTAACATTCTGTCCATTGTATTTTCAAAATTTTTAAAATACTTAATATTTTAAAATACTAAATAAAAACAAATTAAAAGCCCATAATTGGATCAAATTAAACCACAGTGAGATCCAGCCTGCTATGATAAAATTAGGCCTGGCCCAAATTAAAACCCAATTTTTGTTTGTGATATGCTGGTGAAGTGGTGGCGTTCTCAAGCTAAATCTAGGGTTTGGAGACTTCGGAGAAAAGGAATCAGATCCACTTCTTCTATTAGCTTCTCTTATCCTCACCTCTTAACTCAGCAGCCGCAGCAAAAAGGTTTTTTTTTTTTTTATAAATTTTCTCTGTTTCAACTTTCTTTTCGTCGTCTTTGGTTAATTTCTCGTTTATTTTTGGTTCAATTTTTGGTAATTAATTGCGTTAGCCTTCCGTCTCTGTAAGTAATACCGTAAATTGATCTTGATCAAATTCCCTTTTTTTTTCCCCCAAATTTTAACTCTTTAGGGTTATGTCGTGATGATTGAGATTCTGTTCTACTACTATTTAGTTTGACATTGAACTGTACTTTTGGCAATTAAATTAAAAACTGAAGTGATTTTCTCACAAAGTTTATTAACTCACCTGCTTAAATTTAACAGCCCTAGAAATCTTTCTCATGAGATGATAATTTTTCTAATTTTTAGTTTGTTTCGAGTGTGATGGTGCTTCTGTTAATACCCATCTTGGTTTGTGGTTTGCACAGAAATTACATGTTGATTTTATGTCTATTTTGTGTATTTATACATTTGTTTCTGTTTTAATTTGGTTAAATTTGGTTATATTGGCTTTTTAGGGGATGTGAAATATCTTTTTTTTTCTTAGGAACAACACAACAAGAAGAAACCATGCCGAAGAACAAGGGAAAGGGAGGAAAGAACAGAAAGAGAGGAAAGAATGAAGCCGACGATGAAAAGCGTGAACTTGTGTTCAAGGAAGATGGGCAAGAGTATGCCCAAGTGCTTCGTATGCTTGGCAATGGACGGTGTGAAGCCATGTGCATTGATGGCACTAAGCGCCTTTGCCATATCCGTGGAAAGATGCACAAGAAGGTTTGGATTGCTGCTGGTGATATAATTCTTGTTGGGCTTCGTGACTATCAGGATGACAAGGCTGACGTGATCCTTAAGTACATGCCTGATGAAGCAAGGCTCTTGAAAGCCTATGGCGAGCTTCCAGAGAACACGCGTCTCAATGAAGGCATTGTCGATGAGGAGGATGAAGGAGGTGCTGATGATTATGTAGAGTTTGAAGATGAAGATATAGATAAGATCTAGGGTTTTGGAATTGGTTATGTTTGAATCATGTGTTGGAAGAGAGATATGGTGGTTGCTGTTAAGAAGCCTACAATATGTGGGATTTGTTCCATAATGCATAAGTTTACATTTATAAGTGGTGAATGTGTCATTATTAGATGTTTGCTAGTTTCACTAATGTGTGTTCCATATCTCAAATTTACTTTTATAGAGATGATAATGAAATTTTAGCTTATTATGAGCATTTTGTCACTGTGTTAAATTTAGCCTTGTGAGAAGTAGGATACATAGATACATATACAGCATGCATTAGCTCCTGGATGAGATTGATTAGATGAATATGGAGCCTTTGCACTACAAGCTCAGTTACAAAAGGAGCCTTCATTGTTTGATACTTAGTAGTTAATGCTCAAGGAATTTACAGATTAAACAATGGTTTAGTGACATTATTTACAGGGGGAGTCAACAATTTTGGCACTTGCGGTGGCCAGGATTAAGTCATGATCACTGAAACTAAAAGATCATACTTTATCAACATACCATAACGGTTCTTAGGGAATTCAACCATTTTATGGAAGCCACATATAAAATAGATTATGTCTTAGCACTAGCATTAAATTATTTTTCTCTTAGCATAATAAAAATCCACAGGTCAAGAGGCTGAAGGATCCAGTGACAGTTGATCGTTAGCATTGTTGCATTTGATTTCCTTCTGGCCTCCTAATAGCATGCTCTTGTGCCTTCTATATTTTACACTCTCACCTGAACCATCTTTCTTGATTACCTGCAGTAAAATTATAATCAAATTGTATTGGAGTGTTAAACTGTTAATAAATAGAAACCAGAAAGTATACACACAGCTATTAGCATCCAACCTTGCCAGATTCTTTTGATAGCTGATAGCTTGGTGCAGTTTTCCTCCTCGATATGCTTCTTGTAGCTTCAAGCCTGTTCTTTGATGGCCTGTAGCCATCTTTTTCCTTCGGAGTTGTCACTGATAAGCTTTCTAGCTGGACAGATACTTCATTAGATCCGCAACTTTCTTTCTCTTCACCTGCTACATCTGCAATTCCTTTCCTGACAACAAATCTTCGATTATTGTCCGCTGGTTCAAATTGTTTGCTCGTATTGCGTTCACCTAATGAGCTCTCTGGAACTCGGGTTGCCATCCACCGTTCTAGCCAGCTCCAGCTCATATTCTGTTCCGTGCCATCGGGTTTTGCTTGTTTTCTCTTAGAGCAGATTCGCAGCTACCAACACAATTGGATAAAGTTAGACTAGTTCAGCTTAAACTTGTATTTCTCTTCGGTTGTGTAGGCAAAATTAATATGCTGGATGTACCTGTTGTGAAAACGCATAGGCCAGAGCTCTCTCACGCCTAGTCATTGCTTCCAGTTTGTTCTGAATCCTCATTTTTGATATGTTACTACTCACTGTGCTATCATCCCAATCTTCCTGTTATTTCAGTTGAGAATATTAAGATCATCACTGAAACTGGGGTCTTATCATTTTCATTCAATTTGTGGAATTTGCAAAACTGTGTTCATTGCTGTTAGATTGAGTTACCTTTATCCTCAAAACCTGAGCTCTTGGTTTTTGTTGTAGTCGTTGATGTACTGCCTTGCTTTCTTCTTGAACTGAGAAAACTTCCCTAGAATTTCCAGTTTGAACTTCAATTGACGTACCAATAGACTCCCTATTTGGACTTTGGGTCCCCGTGAGAGGCTCCTGTTTATCATCTTTTGTTTTGATTTCTGTTTCTTGACGCCCAGCCTAAAATTCAATAACCAAAAGAACAGAGATTTCAGACTTTCAAATTCAATATGAACAATTATTTGCCCTTCAAACCATGTCGTCTTTAAAATAAAATATGTAAATTGATGAATTTGCTAGGGAATCAAACCAGAAAGTGTCTAAATGCTGACTGAATAACCATGGCTGCATCTTCTTCATGGAAAAGTTTGGAAATTGAGTTATGCTTTTCCTCTGGTATATTTAGCTTGGTCTCATCAATCTGGTTTTCTCCTTGGTCCCTTAAGCCTTCTGGTATAGGCTGTGTAACTGTGGCTTCCGAGCTCTTAACTGAAGTTGAATCTTCCTCTGCAGGGACTGAATTAAATTCATTGCCGCAGAGGTATGATCTGACTGAACTCCATCTTTTCTTGTCGGTCACATTACTTCTTGCCTGATAGGCTCAAGGCCAAAAACCAGATAAATTTGTCACTTGAATATTCACATTAAGTATTTACAATTACAACTACAAGACTAAGCAAATAACTACTACAGAACCAATGAGTTGTTAGCTTAGTGGAACTGGAGTCGGCTCCGGGGCTGAAGATCTCGAGTTTGAATCCCAGTCTTAGTCCCCCAGAAAAAAAACTATTACAGAATTCACTAGTTACAAGGCTTGAAGAAGAGGTAGGGAACTTACAGGGCTGCTGACTTGAGTCCCAAAGGACCTGTTCCTATAGAAGACACTTCTAACCATCTCTCCAGTGATACCCATCTCAATTTCTTAATTGAGCAATTCAATGAATATATTTTCTCAAACCTGCGGTCTCCAATTATATTGACAACCACAAGAGATTCCTTGAATCATTATTGGTTTTGAGAAAAGAAGAACAAGCTGAAAAATGCCTGTGACATTCTTCAGTCAGTTATTCTAGCAGGCCAGGCTTCACTATTTAGTATTACAATAATCCATATGTTACCTGTAATCAAGATAGAAAACCTGCTGAATCTTCAGAGCTTTAGAGCTGGACTTAGTCCTTTAAAATCACAAAATAATAGAAACTGATAAAAAGTAAAGATTATATAGAAAAGATTGGTTTGAGGGACTGCATAGTTTTTTTTTTTGCTTTTATATCACTTTTTGCACATGGCTTGCAGCAGATTGGGCTAAAAAAGTTTGCTTGCTATTGGGGTTATGTCTGTTGCTTTCTGGTTACTGCTCCTGCCCTTCAGTGACTCTTATTGGATTTCAGCTGCTCATTTTGTAATATGAAAAACATGTCAATTACTTTAGGCAGTGTTTCTTTTATAAAGAACTTTTGAGTTAGATAATTATCCTAAAGTTATTTAGATTATTAGGACAAGTTGGCAGCAACTTGTCCCTCAACTTGCATTGATTCCTACCATTCCTAGTTTCCTTTAGTCATTTATCAAATGCCAAACATTTGCTCATGCATTGTTGTGGTAAAGTGGAAACAAGAAAGTTTTGGAGCATTGGCTGCGGATTGGATTAACTCTAACCATTGCTTGTGATAATGGAAATTGATGATCAAGGCCATTTTGAGTGTTTTTTTGCTAACAGAAACTGCGGTTATCTGTCTGACTTTTTATGTATGGAACAATGACATAAACCAAGAGATGTGTCTTGGGGTCGTTGGGAGATGAAAGATAGGGACAACAGCAAACGTTGACATATCAGAAACACCAGCAATGGACTCCATCTAGTGGTCCTGACTGACCAGGTTTGTCATCTTAACGTGCACCAAAAATTATCAAGGCAGAGTAAACAGGTTGTGGCTAAAGCTTTTGTCAACATGGAAATTGTTGGTTTAGATGTTCTATCTTTTAGAATTCGCAAATTATTACAAAATTTTGACATAAGATGCAAATTATTCACTCTAATCATATCAAATCTAAATTAAAAGTTCATATGATATCTTCAATCTTACATCAATCTTACATTAGAAGAATGTGAAAATATGATAAAATATATACGTAGAGATCTAAATCTATACTTATGAAACATCTTTTATGAGATAAAATCATGATTAATTCGGATTAAAACGAATAATACCTCACAGGTTAAGTACATATCTATATAAATAATATAAAAAAGATCACTAGTAGAACGAAAACTAAATGCTACATATTAAGAACTACCTCTAAAATTTTAATATCTGATGTAATCTTAATTTTGTGAATCTATATGTATTTTATGATAATATGATTCATATTTTATGAATCTATATGTGTTTTATGTTGGACTTAACAAAAACGTCAAGCTTTAAAAGAAAAAATTGTGATGTCTTCAATTTCACATTTTTTAAAAAATACGAGGATATGATAAAATCATAAAAATTTTAGGATCAATTCTGATCAAAAACTGATATCATCTTACCACAATTTAAGTGTTTTAAGAAAAAAAAGTAGGCATGTGCCCAGCACTTACTACATTTTCATTTATTATACGTTATACTAAAGTGGGCTTGCAGCTGAAGAAAGCAAAGATCGGGCCATGAATATGTGTTTGAATAATGGCAGAGAAGAAGCGGTCCTTGAAATTTCCTCTTCTCTTTCCGAGTGAAAATAATAGAGGATTGTCACTTGAATTTAGCTCAAGTGACAATGACGGAGTGGGATTTGAGTTGATATCTTGCATTCCAGGATAAGCAGTAAACGTACAGCAAGTGCAAGTTGGATTGCTTAAAGTCAAACTGATAAGAACAATAGCTGAACATCCAACAACTAATCATTAAGTTTGATTAACTTATGGTGGTTCAATTAAAAGAAAATCAATTACCCAACAACAGATTTAAGTAGCTATTTTAGTGGATCCCATCCCATTAGCCATAGCAAGCATGTCCTCTTAGTCTCTGCTATGAATAATAACGGATCGAGATGTGATAAATTTTTGTTTTAAATCCAATTCGATTTTATAAATTTAATATTTGAATTTGATTTGATTTAATATTAAAATATTATTTTTATATTTTTAGTCGATTTAATTCATACATGTTTAAATTCGTAATTAATTCAATTTAAAATTAATAAAATAATAATTTTTTAAAATATAAAATATTATTTTTAATATTATTTAATATTAATTTAATAAAAATTATATAAATATATATAATTAAATAAATAATAATAAATAATAAATATACTAGATCAAAACTGAACGAGTTTACATAAAATTTGATCTTGATTTGTTTTTGAAAATATTTTATTTGATCTGATTCAAAATCTAATTTAAAAAAAAAAAACTCTATAAAATTAAATTAAATCAAAATCCAATAAATATGAATTGAATTGTCAACCTAATCTCTGTCATGAACTCCTCCAAATCCACCTTCCCATTCGAGTCATGATCAAACTGCATAAACAGCGAATTGTAAACAAAGTGAGTTTCGAAGACCACTGAATTTAATTATTAACATTAACCAAATATTTTAGCAAAGAAAAAAAAAATGAAGAACCCCAGGGACATAGGAATTTTATTTTCTTTATTGGGTTTTGTTTGTGTGTATGAACATGGGTTTTGTTCAAAGATTTTGACAATTTTCATTCATGGTTTTTAAAAAGACGTAAACGAATTAAGATGAGCTTGAATACTTCTGATATCAAATTGATCTAAATATATGATTTGAATAAAAAATCTTATAAATCTAAATTAAAAATCACATTAATTTTAAATTAGATATTCATCTTAAAAAATATTTTTATAATAAAATAAATATAAAAATAAAATATATCGTATTCGATAATTTAAAAAATAATGATGATAAATTATATTTTCAAAATTATTTTAATGAAAAATCATCGATTAGATTTAAATTTAAAATTATTTATATTGAAGAAATCGATTCTGAGTTAATATTTTTTTGATCATTTTAAAAATTTAATAATTTTAAAATAAGAACTCAAAATGTAATTTAATTTATGTTCGTTAAGTCTTTAGTCCTTGATAATAATACATGGCCCTACCCAGATGCCATAGACGAGGAAAAGATTCCTTTTAACTACTCCCCAATTTTCTAGGGTTTTTTAGACATTGTATTTTGATGTTCTTATTTCAAATGGTGGATTCCGGTGCAAGACGGAAACAGAAAACGAAAGAAAAAAGGTCAAATGAAGGGAACCAGTGGACGACACGACACAAATTTAATTGGACAAATCAATGTTCTTGACAAGTCAATTAAGCAGCAGGTCCCATTCCTACCAACCCTTTTCGTGAGTCAAAAGGTATTTTGTTTATGCTGTTGAGGAATCATGTCGGCCTTGTTGTAGCCCCAACGCCATACGTCTCATCGTTGTCATGCAGATGCACATGGGAGTGAGAACTACAGTTTATTTCGAATTCAATTCGAATTTAATTTAATTTATTAAATTTAATTTTTTTAATTTTTATTTAATATATTTAATATTTAAATTTAGTTCGAATAAATATAAAAAAATTAATTTGAATACAATTAAATATTATAATTTTAAATTAATTTTAAATTTTTTTATTTTTAAATGCATATTTTTATGCACATCTATTTTTATAAAGTCAATGTATGTAATGTAATGTAATAATCTTTTCTTTTTTTTATTTTAACTTATGTTTCTATTTTTTTTAATGGAATTTTTGAGATGAATATGATCAGTTGAGTCACTATTCAACTTTGTTAGGTATGGGTAGATATGGTTTTGATTTTGAAACTTGGTTAGGTATGCGTACGAATGTGAATATTTAATTCAATAATAATTATTTATATTTTATTAAATAGTCAATCGAAACTTTTTTCTTTTCAAAATAGTAATTTGATAAGAAAATAAGAAATTAAAAAAAAAAAAAAACTATCGAACTGATTAGAACATTTGACAAAAAAAGTAATTAGAACGTCCATTCAACAAAGACCAATCTCATTACATGTAATCAAATGTAATAAAATCATGAAATCATAGATTATGTAATGTTTAAATTTATTTATGAATCGAGATATTCATCCAATTTGCATGTCTATCAAATGAAAGGGAAAGAATTATGATAAAATTCACCATATAAATGAATTATACGATGAATGTGTTTCAACACCATAAGTTTAATTTCACTAGAAAACTCTTAAACCATGCCAAACCATGCACATCAAAGCTTTTGAAGCATATTTTCGAGTGTTCAACTTTGAACAATCTCTTAAGAATCTTTGATACCCACTTCCCTAAAATGGTAAAAGATTCCCAACCGAGTACTGTTAAAAAAAAGGATTCCTAATCAAGCAAATTAAAAATGTAAGATTGGATAAGGTCACAATAAATATCTTATCTTAAACCCACTAAGATCTCTATGAATACGATAAATCAAAAGTTTATGTTTAATCTACTATTAATTAGTATATAGATTTTATATACTGTTTTATTAATGAATCAAATAATAATAACTCATTTATAAAGTAAATCAGATGATAACATTAGAGATAACAACAGATCGAATTGATGTAGATTTTTGTTTTTCTTTAACTTTACCCAACTTTACATCCATAAAACCCAAATCCGACTTGACTCGAAGAATTTTTTATTTTTTTATACTTGAACTGGATTCGACTTGAAATTAATAAAATATTATTTTTAGTATAAATATAAAATTAAATAAATATATAATTAATTAATTAAAATAATTTTTTATATATATTGGGTCGGGTCGGATTTGCCTAAAATCCGACTCCGATTTTTTTTCATTATTACTTGTCTAGACCCAATTTGACCTAAATTTTAATTAAAAAAAAAAAATAACCTTAGGAGATCAGGTCGGGTTGGAACCCATCGGATACGAATTGAACTGTTAACCCTAACTAATACCTCATTAATAAGTAAATTTTGTAAAAATTTTTAATTTATATACATTTATTTTAAAGATTGATATTTATTTGTTTTGATTTATTGTCAATGTATAAAATTTATACATCGTAAAATTAGACAATATCATGGTAAATATCTTATCTGATACCCATCAAGATCTCAATGAATATATATGATAAATCAAATCGAAACCACTATCAATTTTGGCCCATCACGTTTTATTACTTGTTACATGTCTAAGCAGTTATCAATTGGCCCATGTTGATTATTTTTAAACTCTGTTATACAAGTCCTTGATTAATTATGTCACATGCAGTTATAAAGTGTGTGGTGCCATGAACCATGTACCAAAATTTATGATGTGGTTGGGCTTGGAACACCTAGAAAATTAAGCCAAAATTAAAAAAATTGGTTACATATTTTGCTTAGGTGAACTTCAAACTTCAATGTTTAACTGCCCAAGCATTGTCCCATATAAAAGATGTAGCTTAAATTAATATGCTACTTGTTTCAATAATTTATGTACTTTGCCCATTACAAATCA